ACCGACAAGTCTCGCAACGAGAGCGAAGGCACAAACGGCTTATCGTCCTCGGCTCTCTCGGCCTCCTCGGATGAGGTCGCGTCGGTCGCCGCCTCGGTTTCGGTCGAATCGCCGTCTTCCGATTGCGAAGTAGACTCCTCATTCGTCGTCTCGGCAGCAGGCTCGCTGTCATCCTGGAAGAACAAAGCTCCGGCAAGGGCCGTGCTCATAAGCTGCTTCAATCCTGAGGTTGGAACAACAGCACGGGCTTGATCCTCCGTCGAAGCAGATGATTCCGGTTCGTTCTCAGCCGGAGTTTCGCTCGAAGGTTCACTCTCGGTAGCAGGAGTTTCGGCCGGCTCTTCGCCCGATTCGGGCTCGCTCTCTGAAGGGGCAGACTCTTCTTCTGCCGGCATTTCCTCTTCAGCCGCGGGCTCTTCCGTTGGCGGCTCGTCCTGCGAAGACTCTTCCGCCGCGGGTTCCTCAGCCGGCGTTTCGGCTTCGCCCTCTCCTCCGGTCGCAGATTCGCTCGGATCGGGCGCCAATCCTTGATAGGGGTAGTTGGCTTTGTTCTCTTCGTAGTACTTGGCCACCTCGTCGTCGGTTATCGCTGCTTCGTCATAGAAGTGCTCGAAGTCGGCCTCGAAGTACTGGAAGTCCCGACGCTCAGGCAAACGGAAACCGGGCTCGGGTGAGTCGGGCCGGGGGTATTCCTCTTTGTATTGGTTGAAGAACGCCAGCAGCTCTTTCTCGCTGGGGTCTGCTACCTTGTCGAGGAAATCATCGACTTTCACTTCCACCACTTCAGCAGTTGTTTGCTGTCGAGAACGTAGGAAATAGTTCCAGCGTTCGGCCGGTGTGGTATTCAACTGCGTTCCTGAATTGACCAGATACAGCAAATCGTTGGCCAGCAATTCGGGACGGATGATGTCGAAGAGTTGGTTTTGCGAAATGCGGACGGTCATGCTCCGTAAGATGCCGGCAATCTGTTCTGAAGGCACCATGTCCTGCGTGAACCGTGCGATCAGTTGGTTGATCCGCTGATCGCTGACTTCCAGGCCAAGCTCTTCGGCCCTTCTGGCGGCAATCATGGTTCGTACGACCGAAGTCTCGTTGGGGGGCAACAATAGACCTTCGCGGAGAAGTTCGTTTTGTTTGAACTGGGCTAGGCGATTGAAATTCTGTGCGTCTACCTGCCCGCCCCGGGCCATTGCTTCGAGCGTGAGTTGCAGCAATTGCTGAAAGAATGTGTTGGAGATTTGCCGCTGTTGCAGCAAGACGGACATTTCGCGTTCGCCAATATCTCCGTATTTCGTGGTAACGACTGTTCCCGCGGCACCGCCACCGCCACCGTCCATCATCCGCATTACGGGGGGCAGGAGGATGAAGGAAACCATCGCGCCGACACCCGCAATTGCCAGAAAAAGCTTCTGTCGTTTACGGAAAATTGAAAACGGATTGGCCATGTTATGGCTCCACGGAAATGCCAAAAGTGTCTTCCGCGAAGGGGAAAACACTTGACAGATTGGCTTATAGAAGACTAATCAGTGACCGAAACAACGATTCTTCGGATCGTGGTGATTGTATGGCTGGTCGACGTAAATGCAATCCCAAAAAGGAGTGTGGCCGATCCAGCGAGAGAGAAAAGCAACTGCGGGGCACAAATGCGGTTCGAAAAGCCCCCAGCTTGCTCGGAGATAGGAGGTCTATCCGTATCGAGTACGGATGGGTACGAATACAGGGGTGATTCGGCTGTCTGATTCCAAGTTCAATCCCAGCCGCGACTGCGGCTGATACAAGGGTGCAGCGATCTCTCCCAGGGCGCAAGCACCACAAGAGCACACCTTCTATGGCGAAAAAAAAGGCGAAATCCGATGGCAAGCCCCTGGTGATCGTCGAATCACCGGCCAAAGCCCGTACCATCGGTCGATTCCTCGGGAAAGACTACGTAATCGAGGCCAGCATCGGCCATGTTCGCGATTTGCCGCAGGGTGCCAAGCAGATCCCTGAGAAATACAAGGGAGAGGATTGGGCTTACCTGGGCGTGAACGTCAACGAATCGTTTGAGCCCGTTTACATCATCCCCCCCGGCAAGACGCAACAGGTCCGCAAGCTGAAGGATCTGCTCAAGGGTGCCTCTGAACTCTATCTGGCGACGGACGAAGACCGCGAAGGAGAAGCCATTAGCTGGCATCTTCGCGAGCTGCTGAACCCCAAGGTGCCGGTTAAACGCCTGGTGTTTCACGAAATCACCAGCGAAGCCATTCACGACGCTCTCGATCATCCCCGCGACATCGACGACTCGCTGGTTCGCGCCCAAGAAACCCGCCGTATTGTCGACCGCCTATATGGCTACGAAGTGTCTCCGCTGCTGTGGCGTAAAGTTCGCCCCCGTCTTTCAGCCGGACGGGTACAGAGCGTTGCGGTGCGATTGATCGTCGAGCGTGAACGACAGCGCATGGCGTTCCACTCGGCCACGTATTGGGATCTGCTGGCCACCTTTACGACCGAAGCGAACGAAACGTTCCAAGCGACGCTGACCACAGTGAATGGTCGCCGCATCCCCAGCGCCCGCGATTTCGACCCCGCCACGGGTAAGCTGAAAGACACAGAGAACTTGCTGCTCGACGAAAAAGCCGCCGGCGAGCTGATCGAGCGGCTCAATCGGGCCGACTTCAGCGTAAAGACGCTGGACGATAAGCCGTACACGTCGAAGCCATACCCACCGTTCACCACAAGTACGCTGCAGCAGGAAGCGAACCGCAAGTTTCGCTTCACCGCCCGGCGCACGATGCAGGCCGCACAAAGCCTGTACGAGAACGGTCACATCACCTACATGCGTACCGACTCGACGAATCTTTCGAAAGAAGCCGTCTCAGCCGCTCGCGATCTGGTGCTGGCAGAATACGGCAAGGAATACTTGCCAGACGATCCGCGGAACTATCAAACCAAGGTCAAAAACGCACAAGAAGCTCACGAAGCGATTCGCCCTGCCGGTCATCCGTTCGAGCCGCCTGAGACACTGCGAAGCACCTTGAACGACGATGAGTTCAAGATCTTCGACCTCATCTGGAAGCGAACCGTTGCCAGCCAGATGGTCGACGCCCGCGGTCGCCGGATCTCGATTGAAATCGAAGGCGACGATGCGGTTTTCCAGGTCGGCGGGAAGACGATTGATTTTGCCGGATACTTAAGGGCTTACGTTGAAGGCTCCGACGATCCACAAGCTGAGTTGGCCGATCGCGAAACGGTGTTGCCGGCCGTCGAAGTCGGTCAGCCCTTGGGATGCGAACAGCTTGAGCCCAAGAGCCACACCACCCAGCCGCCCGGGCGTTATACGGAAGCCACGCTGACGCGAACGCTGGAAGAACTGGGGATCGGTCGACCGAGTACTTACGCTTCGATTATCGATACGATTCTCGCCCGAGAGTATGTCTTCAAACGTGGCAATGCGCTGGTGCCCACCTGGACCGCAATGGCGGTTGCCCGCTTGCTGGAAGGGCACTTGCCTGAGTTGATCGACTATCAATTCACGGCCCAGATGGAAGACGATCTCGACGCCATCAGCCGCGGTGAAGCCGGGCATATCGAATACCTGAACAAGTTCTACTTCGGCAAGAACGACAAAGGCTTGAAGTCGCAGTTAAACGACAAGGTCGAAGAGATCGATGCCCGCGAGGTGAGCCAGATTCTGATTGGTGAGCCAGGAGAGGACGCGGAACACAAAGAGCCGATCTTTGTTCGCGTTGGTCGATACGGACCATTCATTCAGCAAGGCGAGCGTCGCGCGAGTCTGCAAGACGGTACCGCACCCGATGAAGTGACCGTCGAAGCCGCCCTGGAACTTCTCGACAAGGCCAGCGTGGCCGACGAACCGTTGGGCATGTGCCCCGAGACGGACAAACCTGTCTATCTCAAGGTGGGCCGCTTTGGTCCCTATGTCCAGCGGGGTGATAAGGACGACGACGAGAAGCCGAAGAACGCCTCGCTGCTTAAGGGGATGGAGCAATCTGATGTCTCGCTCGACGTTGCCTTGAAACTCCTGAGCCTTCCCCGCGAACTGGGTACCGATCCCAAGACTACGGAAGTGGTACGAGCCTACAACGGGCGATTTGGACCTTACATCAAAGCTGGCGACGAAACGCGTTCGCTGCCGGCAGATGTTTCGCCGCTCGATGTAACGCTCGAGCAGGCTCTCGAATTGCTAGCCCAGCCGAAGAAAACCCGTAAGTTCGGCGAGCCGAAGGCGATTCGCGAACTGGAAGAGTCTCCCGTCACCGGCGAGAAGGTCCGCATCCTCGAAGGGCGCTATGGCCCCTACGTGAGCGACGGGACCACGAACGCCTCCGTTCCAAAGGGGCAGTCGCTCGAAGAACTGGAAATGAAAACCGCGCTCGAGCTGCTTGCCGCCCGAGCTGCCAAGGGGCCTTCGAAGAAGAAAAAGGCCACTAAGAAGAAGGCCGCGAAGAAAGCAACCAAGAAGACGGCCAAGAAAAAAGCCGCGAAGAAAAAGACCACCAAGAAGAAGACTGCCAAAAAGACTTCGAAGAAATCGTCTTAGCGGTCGGGCTCCTTGAGAGCCCACTGCAGCCTGAGCGGTGCATGGATCTCTAGGTCTCACCCAATGCCAGGGCATAGGCGGTAGCGTGGCTACGACAGTGGGAGATGGTGAGCATCACTCGCTGAATACCCAAGCCATCCGCAACTTTGTTGGCTTCCCCGTGAAACTCAACCTGTGGCGGGCTATTGCCGTCGCCGAGGATCTCGATATCGCGCCAACTAATTCCACGACGCCAGCCGGTGCCTAACACTTTGAGCAGTGCCTCTTTGGCCGACCATCGCCCGGCAAAGTGTTGCGTGGCATGCATCCGGCTTTGGCAGTACTGAATCTCGTGCTGGGTGAACACACGGTTGATGAAGAGTTCACCATGCCGCTCGATCATCTGCGCGATCCGCAGACACTCGGTGATGTCGGTGCCGATTCCTATGACTTGCTGCATGGTGGTTTCGTAATCTGGTAACTACCGCTTCAGCCCACAGGCTTTTTGGGCCCGGGCCAAGACTTCGCCTGCTTTGCGACGTGCGCGGGAGGCGCCATCGGCCAAGATTTCTTCAACCCGTTCGGGATGGGCAGCGAACTCTTCGCGACGTGCCCGGGGTTCCTCGAAGAACCGTTCGGCCGCCTCGTAGAGCGCCTTCTTCACTTCGCCGTATCCAAAGCCGCCACGTCGATAGAGAGCCGCCATCTCTTCTCGTTCGGCGTCGGTCGCCACAAGCGAATAGAGTTGGTAGAGGTGATCTCCCTCCGGCTCCTTCGGTTCTTCCATAGGCCGCGAGTCGGTGGTGATCCGCATGATCTTCTTCTTCAGCGGCTTGAGGTCTTCGAACAACTCCAACGTGTTGTTGTAACTCTTCGACATCTTCTCGCCGTCGGTCCCTGGCACCTTGGCCGACGAGGCAATGATCTTCGCCTCGGGCATGATGAACGTTTCGCCGAAGTTATGGTTGAAGCTGGCTGCCAGGTCGCGGCACACTTCTATGTGTTGCTGTTGATCGTCGCCCACGGGCACCCAATTGGCGTCGTAAGCCAGAATGTCTGCCGCCATTAGGACAGGATAGGTAAACAGCCCCGCATCGGCGCGCAGCCCCTTTTCTTTCTTATCTTTGTAGGCATGACACCGCTCGAGCAAGCCCATGGGGGTGCCGGTCATCAGCAACCAGCACAACTCGGAGACCTCAGGCACGTCGGATTGCATGAACACGATCGCCTGCTCGGGGTCGAGTCCCAGGGCCAGCAGATCGATGGCGGCATCGAGACTCAACTGCCGCAATGAATCGGCGTCGCGCACCGTGGTTAGTGCATGCAAGTTCGCGATGAAGTAATACGCCTCATCAGCAGTTTGCAGGTCGATGTACTGCTGAATCGCCCCGAAATAGTTTCCCCAATGAAACCGTCCCGTGGGCTGAATTCCAGAAAGAACTCGCATCGCAAAAGCATCCTTGTAAACCATAGGGCCCAGTTGCGGGCCAGAGTGTCAAAGCTATTTCATACACCAGAAGCGGAGATCGGCAACAAGGGTGGTGTAGGTGGCTCAACTTACCCCGAAGTCACTCGGCTACACAGGTTCCTTGCGGTGTACCGTACCAACGAGCTGCTCAACTCGCTCGACGCCGGCTTCGGCGAGTGCGGCGGGCAAGGCATCGAGAACCTGCATGCTGGCCCCCGGATTGTAGAAGTTGACGGTGCCCAATTGTACTGCAGAAGCTCCGGCCACGATGAACTCCATCACATCGTCGATAGTGGCGATGCCGCCAATTCCAACCAGGGGCACGTCCACCGCCTGGGCCACCTGATACACAGCACGCAGCGCTATTGGCTTAATGGCCGGACCGCTCAGTCCTCCCAATCCATTCCCCAACAGCGTTCGTCGGCGTCGCCAGTCTATGGCCACGCCAAGGCACGTGTTGATCAACGAGATGGCATCCGCCCCACCTTCCGCTGCTGCCTGAGCGACCGAAACCACGTTCGTCACATTAGGCGTGAGCTTCGCGAGGATGGGCAACCCGCAAGCGTCACGCGTTCCGGCCACCACTCGGCGGCACATCTCCGGGTCCGTCCCAAAGTCGACCCCTCCGCTGACGTTGGGGCAGGAGATGTTCAGTTCCAGCGCTGCAACTCCAGGCACTCCGTCGAGCTGCGCTGCCATCTGCACAAACTCGTCGTAGTCGTGGCCTGCGATGCTCACCACGATGGCAGTATCCAGCGTGCCGAGATAAGGCATGTGCTTGGCAATGAAAGCATCAATGCCGTCGTTATCGAGCCCTATGGAGTTGAGCATCCCACCGGTGGTTTCGATCGTCCGCCACGGTGCATTCCCCGCCCGCGGTGCCTGGGTGATGGTCTTCGGCAGAATGCCTCCCAAGCGGGAGAAGTCGATGAAGCCTTTCATCTCGCGGGCGTAACCAAAGGTGCCCGAGGCCACGAGAATGGGGTTCTGAAGACGGAGCCGGCCCAACTGGACCTTCAAATCGATCGAAGATTGATTCACGGTTGCTGGCAGAGAAGTGTTAGCAGATGATCGGCCAACAACGCTAGCCGGTCGAGAGACCTTGGCAATCTATCTGGCAAGCTGCCAAGGGGCAACCGCCGCCTAACCGCAGTGCCCCACTACAGATCTTGCTCGATCTGTGGGGCACTCAGTCAAACACCAGCAATATGGACGGCTCAGCACCCGAAGTGCGTGGGCTCGGGCTAAAGCAAAGCGCAACGCTTGTGCATTACGCCGCTTCGAGCACGTCGCACAGCGATCAGATGATCCCGCCATGCGTGCGGTAGGGCGACATGTGATCGGGCTGATCGAGGAACCACAGCCGTTCCCATTCGTCGAGGAACAAGCGGAAGTCTTCGGACGTGAATATAAGTTCACTGGTCCGCCGAGTCGGATCGCCCGAGTAGGCCGGAAGAATACATCCGACCGACGTAGCGACACAAATCGCAATCAGGAGGGCTAACAGCAAACCACGCATTCCACAAATCCTCCGTGTTGTGGAGCTTGCGACGCAACAGCAGCGCAAGTCCCTTCGTCAGGTCATCCGAGACCCAACGTGTACTTCTCATAATGAATTGATCCAGCCAATCGGTTAGCTCACACAACCACATTTCGAGCGGGAGAAGCTGATACCGGGTGCCGTTCTTGCAATGTGCATTGCTAGCTCGAAGCTTAGATGAGTCGTGCTTCGAGACCGTCGTGCCTCAGTCGTGCGAGGACTGAGCTGCCGTCAACGTCAGGGTGATGAGTCGTAAGACGTTGCAGCGTAACAGTTAGTTTGATTTGTGTGCTGGATCAACCAGTCTCGGACGAGTCGCTGCCGAAAGTGTTTTCGGAGCCAACCGGCCCGGGCATGTTGGGACCCGGCAAGTTGTTTTGATTCGCACTAGGTGCCTCGGCTGCGGCACGCTGTTTTTCGGCTTCGCGGCGTTCAAGCTCGCGAACGCGTTCTTCCATCTCTTTGCCAGGCTTGAACGTAACCACAAACTTCTCTGGCACAAAGACTTTATCGCCTGTGCGAGGGTTACGAGCCTTGCGGGCAGCTCGCTTCTTCACTTCGAAGACACCAAAGTTGCGAAGTTCGATGCGGCGATCTTCGACAAGCGTTTCGACGATGGCGTCGAAAGTCTTCTGGACGATCTCTTTCGTCTTGAGCTGAGTAAGCCCAATTTCCTCTGAGATTGTCTTGACGATTTCTTTCTTTGTCACGACTCAAGTCTCCTGGAAACCAGGCTCTGAAATTGCCTCTGACAGGGCCTACCCCAACCATGTTGGACACGCTCCAAGTGTAGATGCCACAAGAACTAGAGTCAAGATTAAACGGTTTTCTACGGCTGCCATCAGGGTGCATCCGCAGCGTCATCGCGAGAAATCTCGCAACAACGATTTCGGCGGTAAGTGTAAATTGTCAAAGAGCTTAGAAAATTCGATCCTGGCCAAAACCAGCCAATCGAACTTAACTTGTTATCTCATTGAAACTTGCGTCATTCGACCTAAGGTAAGCAGTTTGTGCTCACTACCTGTCCAGACCCGTCGCAACGAGACTTATGGAAGCGTTATCGTCCGCCCATCCGGCAAACTTCAACTATTCGGAAGAATCTGAACCGGAGGCAGTTTTTCCAACACCGCGGAGGGGAAAGTAAAGAGAAACGCTCTCGAAAACAGCCCGAACGGGGGACACGCCACGATGTGGCTTCAAACGCGCATCTTTGCCCGCTGTTCCTCAATCTTGCCAATGGAGTACAGCTTGCCTTTTCCGCTACCGGGGCACACCTCGCAGGTTTCCTGCCAGGCGGCCTCATCCTTCAGATTCGAGTCCCAGAACGGCCATGTGCGGCATTGGCGGGGACGTGCCTGGTAGACATTGCAGGTACGGGCTTCGTTGTCGAAGAAGACACAATCGCCGTTGGAGTATTCGATGAGGCTCTTGCGAATGCCCACCTTCCGCACGTAGGTGGCTTCGAACTGCTCGACGTCCATCTCTAGAAGTGCGGCCAGATCAGCGACCTCCTGCTTGTTCACCCACACGAAGCCTGGGGCGCCAGTACAGCAGTCGCCACACTGGGTGCAGGAGAATCGTAGCCCTTTGTGGTACCAGGGCTTCTCAGGAGTCGAATCGCTCATAGCATTGCACCGCCATCAAAGACTATCCATCGTGGCACCGGCGATTTCCTTCAGGGCCGAGACTGCCCGATCGATCTCACCGGTTGTCGTCCAGGGGCCCAGGCTCATCCGGACGGTACCACCTTGCTGCAGGGTACCCAGAGCGGCATGCACCCCGGGGGCACACTGAATGCCTGCCCGAACTTGCACACCGTATCCGGCATCTAGAGCCCCGGCAACCTCCTGAGGCTCGTAGCCTTCCACGCTGAAGCTCACCACTCCCACACGCTGCTCAAGCTTGTGGGGACCGTAGACGGTAATACCAGTGATCTCCCGCAAGCCCGCGAGCAAATGGGCCATAAGCTCCTGCTCGTGCTGTCTTAATTTCTCGACGCTTTGCTCCAGCACAAAACCAACCCCTGCGGCCAACCCGGCCAGGCCGGCTACGTTGAGGTTGCCCGACTCGTAGCGGTCAGGCATCAGTTCCGGCTGACGATCATCTTCGCTGACGCTGCCAGTGCCACCTTGCCGTCCCGGTTCAACTTGCGACTCAATCCCGGGACGTAAGTATAAGATTCCTGTGCCTAGCGGACCCAACAAGCCCTTATGGCCCGGTGCAGCCACCAGATCGGCCTGTACCGCTTCTACATCCAGCGGAAGGTGCCCAAGGCTCTGAGCAGCATCGATCAAATACAGGGCCGGATGCTCGCCTACGATGGCCCCGATCTCTTGGACCGGTTGAATCGCCCCGGTGACATTCGAGGCGTGAATCACTGCGACCAGCCGTGTGTCGTCACGCATGGCGGCTCGAATGTCGTCTGGATCGACCACGCCCGATGCATCACACTTCACTCGGGTTACTTCGATCTGTCTCCGATCTTCCAACCACCGCAGCGGGCGTAGCACCGAGTTGTGTTCGATCTCGGTGGTTATTACGTGTCCTCCGCCGTGTGACAACACGCCGTGAATGGCCTGATTCAGCGAATCGGTTCCATTGAGTGTGAACACGATTCGCTTCTGGTCACGCACTCCCAAGAGCTTGGCAACTTGCTTGCGAGCCGCGGAGACAATTGCCTCCGAGTCGCTCGATTCGGCGTAGGCACTTCGCCCTGCGGCCGCCCCATTTTCCCGCATGTAGCGATCGACCGCGTCGTAAACCGACTCCGGCTTGGGCCAACTCGTGGCGGCGTTATCAAGGTAGATTCGTTGCGGGCTATTCGTCATGAATCATTTCTGGAAAAACTGGCAGGCAGCGTCGGCGGAATGCCATTAGTTAGAGCAAAGAACAACTCAGCCAGACAACGCCCTGCCCCGGCCCAACTCACCCGCCGATTTGGTACATAGCTCGCTCGGGACGGATGAATTCCCCGCTATCACTGCCGTGCCCGGCTTTCTTCGCCCCCACACACAACCGCAGCAGATCGGCCAGATCCTCGTCCCTGCCGCCTTCGCGCATGAGTCGTCGAGCGTCCCACTCTTCCGTCGAAAACAAGCAATTGCGGATCTTTCCCTCGGCGGTGATGCGCAGCCGATCGCAGCTCTGGCAGAATGGCTTGGTTACTGAGTCGATGAACCCAACCCGACCAATTCCGTCGGTGTAGCGATAATCGCGAGCCGGTTGGCTGGGGTCCATGCCCGCGATCGGCTCCAACGGGGCGATCTCGGTAGCCAATATCCCGCGAAGTTCGTCTCCGGAGAGGACCTGCCCGCCGTTCCAGTTTCCGTCGGCATCCAGCGGCATGAATTCGATGAACCGCAGTTCCAGTTTCTTCTCCCGCGAGTAGCGGGCCAGCCGCACCGCTTCACGTTCGGTAACGCCTCGAATCGAGACGGCATTGAGTCTCACTGGCGAGAAACCCACACGAAGGGCCGCATCGATCCCTTCGAGAACCCGCTGCAAGCTGCGACGTCGCGTGATTTGCTCGAAAGTTTCTTCATCAATCGCATCCAGGCTGATGTTCACCCTTCGCAGCCCGGCGGCTTTCAACGCGTCGGCCTGCTCTGCCAACAGCGTAGCATTGGTGGTTAGCGAGACCTCGTCGATGCCCGGAATCGCGGTCAACATACCGATCAACTGCGGCAATTCTTGACGCAACAGCGGCTCTCCGCCGGTGAGCCGAACGCTTCGCACGCCCAATTGGGCCGCCACGCCAACGAATCTTACGTATTCTTCGAACGTGAGAATTTCGGCACGGGGCAGGAATTTGATGTGCTCGGCCGGCATGCAGTAGAAACAGCGAATGTTGCAGCGGTCGGTGACGCTGACACGCAGATCGGTATGAACCCGACCAAAGCTGTCTATCAGCGGACCTTGAATGCTCACGATGCGGAATGCCTTCTACTGGGAACGATTGACTTCTACTGTTGAGAGTTTTGCCCGTCGACCTTCTCACCCGTGCCGGGATGCACCCACTCGGTCGAACCGTCTGCCCAATTCTCTTTCTTCCAGATGGGAACCACTTGCTTCAATGTATCGATCAGCCACCGGCCCGCCTCGAACGCCTGATCGCGATGAGGAGCACTCACGGCCACGGCCACGGAAGCGTCACCCAACTCCAAATGCCCCAGGCGGTGTTCAATTACGCACCCGGTGAGCGGCCACCGCGAGGTTGCCTCGGCCGCAATCTCTTCCATTTTCCGCTCAGCCATCTCGGGATAACACTCGTAGTCGAGTGCTACGGTCTGTCGTCCTTCCGTCATTTCCCGCACCGTGCCCAAGAACAGCACCACCGCCCCCGCCTGCGATGAGGCCACCTCATCGAGCAACGAGGTCGAATCGATCGCGTCGTGGGTAAGTCGAGTTTTTGTAAGTACTTCACTCATGAGGGAAAAGCCCGAGGCGAGGGTTTGGCGTTAGCAACCACCATCCTATGCGGCGGAGTAGCTGTCGGAAAGTTGCTCTCGCGGAGCAAAATCGACTCAAAGACTCCAATCTCGCCCGTTTGATCGGATTAGTGACGAGTTAGAGGCCTCACCCCCCGCTAACCGGCGGAATGCAGGCCACATCCGCATCGGGCTTTAGAACCGTGTTGTCACGAGTGTACTGCTCATCGACGGCGAACAGCAGTTGCGGGGCCATCGCGGCCAGCCCTGGCAGTTGCTCAACCAACTTTTGCCGCAAGTCGGCTACGGTCGCACCATGAGGTAGTTCGACCGCCAGACGCTCACTGCCGGCCATATCGCGAGCGACCGCAAACAGCCGCACCTCAATATTCATCGTCGACACGCTTTTTATCTTCCAAGGCTGGTGAAATTTTGCTCCTGTGGCTCTATTTCCCACAAAGGAGGAACCTGTATCGTTCAGTCTCCGTCCATAGGATTCCCTTGTCCAGCGCCTCACTCCAAGTCGGTAAGTCAACACATCAAACACAAGCGGTAAACTCTCACGCGGGCCGCATCTCACCAGGAATCTTCCTCTTCCCAAATTGACTACAAGCGTATGACCTGAAGCAACTTGCAGCCACCCAAAAAGGCCACAAGTGACAATCCCATAGGACCAAAGTCGCCCTCTTGAACTAGTCAAATATTGCGAGCGTAGAAAACTATGTGCGAGATTGCGGACTTTACCCGCCAACGGGAGGCGTCATGACTGGGGTCGATCGTTACTTTTGCGACCACTACAATTTCAGCGAAACGGATGCAGCGGAGATAGCTCGCTAAGTTGCTAAATGGCCGCGACTACGGTTGCCCGTCTAATAGCCAGCTGGCCATTTGTAATTCGGGGGGCGGTTCAGGACGAGATTTTGTCCCGTCGCAGTATCGTCTCCTCTCTTTCGGTTGATTGCGTATCAGGATATCCGATGACGAAATCACAGGCCGAGTACGAGCAACTTTGTCGCCAGACCGATCCCTGGGGACATATCCCCGCTCGCTATAATCTGGGAGTGGCGTTATCCACCGCTCAGGTCGAGGCTGGTCGCGGTGATCACCCGTGCTTGTTGTGGGAAAACTCGGCCGGGGACTCCCGGCGAGTGACCTACGCTGAATTGGATGAAGCCAGCACCCGGTTGGCCGCGTCGCTTGCTCGCATGGGGGTGAAACGTGGCGAACGGGTTCTGTTGCGTCTGCCCAACCTGCCGGAGTTCTACATCGCTTCGTTGGCGCTTGCGAAACTGGGGGCAGTATTTATTCCCAGCAGCACGTTGTTTCGCGCGGCCGACATCGAGTATCGCGTCCGCGATGCCAACGTAGTGGCCGCCATCACCACAACTCACTTGGCCGCCGAGGTGGAAGCCGCGCAGAAGAACTGCCCTACCCTCAAGAGTATCATCGCCGTGCCTTACGCCGCCGTACCGCTCTCCGGCGATCAGATCGCCTTCAACCAACTCGTTCATGAACCCGCCGGCGACTTCCAGCCGGCCGATACCGCCCACGACGATGTGGCCTTCATCATCTACACATCAGGTACCACCGGCGATCCCAAGGGCGTGGTGCACTATCACCGTTACCCCTTGTCGTTCGAGTCGCTCATCGAGCACTGGCACGACTATCGCCCAGACGACATTTGTAGCTGCCCTGCAGAACTGGGCTGGCTGCTGCCGGTTGCTTCCACGTTTCTGTACGCCCTGCGGGTCGGAATGACAGTGGCCCTGTACCATCCGCTCGATGGCCGCTTCGATGCCCCCACCTGGTTGCGGTTCATCGAGAAACATCGCATCACCAATTTCGTGGCCACACCCACCATCTACCGCATGCTCACGGCCGATCCGGGGATCGATCATGCCGATCTATCCAGCCTTCGCCACGGAGTCAGCGCCGGCGAACCATTGCCGGCCGACACAATCGATAGCGTTCAGAGGCGAATGGGATTTATCCCCTTAGACGGCATCGGCATGAGCGAGTGCATGGTCTATTGCTTCAACATGCAAGGCTTCGACGTGGTGCCCGGCAGTTGTGGTCGCCCGGCTCCAGGGTGCGAAATCAAACTGATGGACGAGGACGGCAACGAAGTGCCCGAGGGTGAAGAGGGCGTGATGTGCGTCCTCCGCTCAACCCATCCGGGCATGATGAAAGAGTATCTGAACAAGCCCGAGCAAACGGCCGAGATCTTCCGCGGCGAGTGGTACTACTCGGGCGACGTTCTCTCGCGGGACGACGAAGGCCGGTACTGGTTCAAGGGCCGCAGCGATGATCTGATCAAGGCCAGCGGATACCGCATCTCGCCGTTCGACGTCGAAAGCACGCTCTCCGAACATGAGGCCGTTCTCGAAGTGGCCGCGGTGGCCAGTCCGGACGAGGTCCGCGGCAACGTCGTCAAAGCCTTCATCGTTCTGCGCGAAGGCCACGTTGCCTCGTCCGAGCTACACGCCGAACTGCAAACCTGGTGTAAACAACAGGCGGCCGCGTACAAGTACCCTCGCAAAATCGAGTTTGTGACCGAGCTTCCGAAGACCCAAAGTGGCAAGATCAAACGACGTCTGCTGAGGAACAAGGAATTCGGCGAAGAGTCGAGCGAGTAACGGAGCGAGAACGCCATGCCGCATGCCGAATTGCCGAACCTACTGCGAAAGCGGATGCAAAGCCCGTTGCCGGGCCGCGATGCACAGCGAAAGTACGAACCTTCATTGAGTTATGGCCGACATTTCGCCGAGCCGCCCCCCTCCGCGCGACCGGCCGCCGTATTGGCTTTGTTATATCCCGACGATACCGGCTGGCATCTCCCGTTTACTTTACGACCTCCGACTATGGCCGATCACGCCGGACAAATCAGCTTTCCCGGCGGTGCGATTGAAGCCGGCGAAACCAGCGAACGGGCGGCGCTCCGCGAGTTGGAAGAAGAGTTAGGAATTCCAGATGATGGAATCCACATGATCGGCCAGTTCACGCCCCTCTACCTGTTTGTTACACACTTCGCCGTACTGCCATGGCTAGCCGTGATGGACCACCGCCCCGAGTTGTTCCCATGCGAGCGCGAAGTGGCCGAAGTGATCGAGGTGCCCGTCACCGAGTTGCTCGAATCAGGCAACTCGGCGGTGCACGAACGAAGCCACCGAGCATTGAACTTCGACGTGCCCTATTTCAAATGGCATCACCATCGCATTTGGGGTGCCACGGCCATGATGCTGGGCGAGGTGGTGCAAACCATTCGTGAAGCAGTAGATGCATGAGCGGACCGCCCAGCCTCTACTCCGAGCGCGAAGTATAGCGGTAGACAAGACTCCGTACACTTTACTGCTGTCCAACACAAATACGTAGCAGAGCTTGAAGTCGCTAGCCGTGTCAGTAATGATGGTCTGGCGACCTGGAAAACTACAAGGTCTAACATTTCACGACCAAAGGGGCAGGTTGATGGATTTATCGTTCATTCCCCGCGCTGTCATTTCTGCTGCAATTGGGAGCCTGGTCGGGGCAGTGTTTTTGCGTGCCTCCGCACATTGGGTAGCAAAGCAGAACGTTTCATTCGGAAACGCCTTTGGAACTGTCTTTGCTGCGGCAATTCTCTCAAATATCTTAGGGTTTGTCATTGGTCTTGGAGCCGGGTTGATCTTCTCGTCGAACCCTGAGATTGCAGTCTCCGTCGCAAGTCTGCTTACATTGCCGATCGGCTACTTGGTATTGACCACTTTCGTCGCGTCTCGAAATGAGGTCTCGTTCGGAAAGGCATGCCTGATAACCCTGACGATGGTCGCACTCGGGATCTTACTCGTAGGCTTCATCGGCGCAATGATAGTTCTGGTCTCGATCTTGCTCTGAACGGCAGAAAGCTTCGCCACTACGGCGTCTTCACTTCCAGCGTGAAAGGCAACACCATTCGCGGTTGATCGATTCGCAATGTGGGCGAGGTGGCCTGTTCGGCGAGTGCTCGTATGCCGGCAACCATGGGGTCCATAACCGGACCTAGCACCTGGTGCAGTTGACTCAGCGGCTCGACGTCATCGATCGCTGTCTCGTAGTTATCGAGCGTTGCCCTTACGACATCCGTGGGTCCGATATCGAGTCGCAGGGTGGTGTCGATCGTTTCGTGAGGTTGCGAAAGCCCCAGTTCGACCAGCTCGACCGCCAACTGGTGATCGGTGGCGAAGACGAATCGCTCGTCCATAAACGCGAGTGTCGGTTCCAAACTGGCCTGCAAGAGGGTCGGTGGCCGCTGGTCTTCTTTTCGCTCACGCAGAATGCCGCTGTTCACTGTAACCGGGCCAACCCGGGTGCTTTGGAAGCGATAACTGGGGCGATTTGCTTGGTCGGCCGCCTTGTTGGCCTCGCTCATCGCGCCCCAATAGGCCAGCAGCAATGCCTGCTGGAGATCTTTCGGCTTCTTTGGAACGAAAATGATCGCCATGGCCGGCAAACGAGCCTGAGGCTCATCTTCACCGTTTTGATCGAACTCTCGTCGCGCGAAGACGACTTGCACCCGAGGCTCAACTTGTTGAGAAGCCTCGAGGGTGAAGCTCAGCCCTTCAATCAACGCGGCGACCTCGGGATTGGTGTCCTGCAACGCGGCTAGCTGCTCCCCGCTGAACAGCGTTTCTACGGCCAGTTCGATCGCCTCGCGATTCAGATAACTGCTGATGGAAAAAATCGTGTTGTTTGGCACCAGTGGCCGGAACGTTCTCCCTTGCTGTGGAATTGCCGCCAGCATCCGCAACATGCCGGCCGTTCTGGCAGACTCTTCAGGCAGGACTACGGTGACGTGCGGCTTTGTCTCGCCCGGTGATATGGCGGCCGCCATATAGCGAATATCTTCTGTACGTTGTTGGGAAGCTTGGATCACCAAGCGTCGCAGTGGAAGCGGCAACTCCGATTCGGCCAGGGCCACGCCTGCGGTTGTACGTGCCAAGTCGAGTACTGCCCGTGCCGGTTTGGTAGCTTCACCCGGACTAACAAACAGGGTTGCTGCCCGATCGGCGGGCAGTTGTGAAAGTGCTAATTGGAAATCTTCCCGGTCTGCCAAGGAGAGCTGCTTTGGATCGTGAATCGTGAGCCACGTGTCGAGTGTGAGCGCGTCCCGGGTGGCAAGCAGCGTGCGTCGCCCCTCTTCAAACCAACCCACGGGCCCAACGTGTCGAATGGTGGTGGAACCGATATCGTGCTGATAGACGAAAGAGCCCACACCCAACTTACGGGCCCAATTCTCAAGCACCTTATGCGGCATGGTGAGAGTCACCCGCGAGGTTGAGTCCGACGGAGACTCGAGCGTTACCAGCATTCCCCGGTGCGAAGGATCCACCGCGACGGCCACCGGCTTCATCCATCCCGAAGGATAAAGCCTTGCCAGGGCCGGAAGCAACTTCCCCCCACCATCACGAGCCATCTGCTGAAGCGCAGCCGAATCGTTGACTTCGAGGAAGCATTGAACCGTGTCGGGCATCAGCTCGGCCACGGGTCGCTCGTCGGCAAACGAATGCCTAACGGTACTAGTAAGGACCGCCACTAGTACCAGAAGCATCACTATCTCAAGACGAAGTGTCAGTAGCCTAAGAGAAAAAGTACCCACCAAGATTCACTTCCCATCAGAAACAGGTGCACCCGAACCAGCTCTGATTGTGATTGGGAATCCGATACAGATCAATTGACCCGTTATCCGAGAGTCTTGGGTTTTCGCCGGCTGTGGCCTAAAATCCTTCGCGAAGAGCGGAACAAATTGAGTTCGATTGTTGCGAGAATCCTGTGGCCAATACGCCTGATTTACGTGCCGTTGTGTTCGACCTCGACGGCCTGATGTTCAACACCGAGGATTTGTACCACGAGGTGGGTGAGGAGCTGCTGAGGCGTCGCAATCAGCCCATTCGCCGCGAGTTGTTCGATGCGATGATGGGGCTGCCCGGCAATGTGTCGCTGCAGTTGATGATCGATCAGCATGAATTGCCAGACTCAGTTGAGGACCTGGCCCGGGAGTCGGACGAAATCCTCGTTTCGCTTTTCGATGGCCGCCTGGCCCCCATGCCGGGGTTGCTGAAATTGCTGGATGCCCTTGAGGCTGGCGGATTGCCTAAGGCGATCGCCACCAGCAGTGGTCGGGCGATGGTGACCGACGTGCTGGGTCGCTTTGAACTTGAACCACGTTTCGAGTTTCTGCTCACCGCTGAAGACGTTAACCAGGGAAAACCACATCCGGAGATTTACCAGACCGCGGCGGCCCGATTATCGCTCGACCCTGCGCAAGTGCTGGTTCTGGAAGATAGTGCCAACGGCTGCAAAGCCGCTGTGGCAGCGGGGGCATACGCGATCGCTGTGCCGACCCATCACAGCCGCGAGCACGACTTCACCGGCTCGCAATGGATCAGCGAGGGGCTGGAGGACCGCCGGATCTACGAGGCCCTGGGATTGCCGTACTAGGCGATTGTGACCGGCTTAGCCCCCGATCAGAGCCTGGAATTCATCTTCGCCCAACACGGTGATACCCAGTTGTTGGGCCTTCGTGAGTTTGCTGCCGGCTTTCTCCCCGGCGACAACGTAGTCCGTCGACTTGGAAACGCTTGATGCCGCCCGACCGCCGTGTTGCTCGATAAGGGCCTTGATCTCGTCGCGGGTGTACTTCTCGAGCGTTCCGGTGACGACGAGCGTCTTGCCATCGAGTGTGCTGGAGCGTGGCTTCTCACTTCGGGGCTCATCCATCTTCAAGCCTAACTCCCGCAGGTCGGCGATCACCTTCTCGTTCGCTTCGCTGTGGAGGAAGTCGTAGACACTCTGAGCAATGATCGAACCGATTTCGTTCACTTCGGCCAGGGTTTCAACATCGGCCTTCATCAGTGAGTCCATGTCGTGGAACTCATCGGCCAGCACTGTGGCCACGCGAGCCCCCACGTGCCGGATCGAAAGGGCATTCAACAGTCGGGCCAAACCGCGGGACTTACTGTTCTCGATACCCTCGATCAGATTCTCGGAACTTTTCCGGCCCATGCGTTCCAGCGCGGCCACTTGATCGACCTCCAAGCGATACAAGTCGCCGTAGCTCTGCACCAAGTCAGCCGTAACTAGTTGATCGACCAACTTGTCACCGAGCCCTTCGATATCCATGGCATTCCGCGATGCGAAGTACCGGATTCGCTCCTTCACCTGGGCCGGGCAGGCAAAGTTGGGGCAGCGGATATAAACCCCACCTTCGTCGCGAACCAGTTTCGTGTCGCAGATGGGGCATTTCGTCGGAAACGGAAACGGCTTCAATTCTCCTTCACGGAGATGCTTTTCAACGCGAACGATGTGGGGAATGATCTTGCCGGCCTTTTCCACCACGACCACATCACCCACACGAACATCTTTCCGATCCAGTTCGTCGGCGTTGTGCAAGCTTGCCCGACTTACGATGGTGCCGGCCAGTTCAACCGGTTCGAGCATCGCCACCGGGGTGATGGCCCCGGTTTTGCCGACTTGCACCTGAATATCATTCAGTCGGGTGGTGGCTTCATACTTTTCGAACTTATAAGCGACCAGCCAACGGGGGCTCTTCGAAGTAGAGCCCAACCGCTCGCGCTGTTCGAAGCGATTGACCTTGAGCACCAATCCATCGACTTCGAAATCCAGGTCGTGCAATCGCTCGACCAGGGCTTCGCAATGATTCACGGCCGCGTCGAAGTCTTTGAAGCACTCGACGAAGGGTGTGGCCGGTAATCCGTAAGAGCGAAGCTCCTTGAGAAAATCCATGTGCGTCTCAGACTTGATGCCCTCGACATACCCGATTCCGTGACAGAATAACCGCAGCCGCCGCTCGGCGCAGATCCGCGAATCGAGCAAGCGGATGCTTCCAGCGGTCACGTTACGAGTATTGGCGTAAGGTTCTTCGCCTTGTTCCTTGCGCCGCTCGTTGAGCGACACCAAGTCGGCGTTGGTCATGTAGATTTCGCCCCGCACTTCCAGCACGGGTGGAATATCATCCCCGACCAACCGTAGAGGCACATCGAGCAAGGTGCGCACATTGTGGGTAATGTCGTCTCCCACGCGTCCATTCCCTCGCGTGGCCCCACGCACCAGCAACCCGTCTTCGTATAGAAGAGAGACGGCCACCCCGTCGATCTTCAGTTCCACAACCCATTCGACTTGCTCGTCTTTGAGCAGCTTCTTCACCCGATCGCCGTACTTGCGCAGCTCTTCGAGACTGTAGGTGTTGTCGATCGACAGCATCGATACGCGATGCTCGACCTGCTGCAGTTCGGAAACCGGTTGATCTCCGATTCGTTGAGTGGGGCTATCGGGGGTAACCAACTCGGGGTGTTCGGCCTCGAGTTGTTTGAGCCGCTCGATGAGCTTGTCGTACTGAAGATCGGTAATCTCCGGTGCGGCATCGACGTAATACTTGCGGTCGTGCCGACGTATCTCGTCGGACAGTTGCCGAATCTCGTCGGCCGGGCTTTTCTTTCGGCTCATCGTCGACCGATCGCAATGGGGTGCTCGGAGGAAGCTGTGGTGTAAACCTCGAACTATTGGTCACATTCCGCCGGAACATTCTGCGGGCGTTGGGCCGCATTGGGCACCAGGCACAGGAACTTTAGCGGCTGGGAACCTGTATTACGAAACTGGTGCACTTCGTCGGGCGCGACATAAACCACGTCGCCCGCGGTGAGAGGGTGCTCGGTATCGCCTTCGAGCACAACGCCGTCGCCTTCGAGGACGAAAACCTCGTGTTCGTAGGGGTGATTGTGCTTGGGCGTATGCCCGCCGGGTGCGACTTCAAACTGTCGCATGGCGAAATTCGGAGCCCCATCCGGCTCGCCCACCAACCATCGCACGGTGCAATCGACAGCCCCTTCCATCTCCACCGGTGCCGACTCGACTTGTTCGTATGCTTTGACTTTCACGACTGTCTCCTTGAAGACACGGATGGATGGCCTTCACGCCAAGCCCAAGAGTAGTTCCAAAACTCTACTACTATTTTGCCCAACTCACCCTAGGGAACAAGCAGCCCCAATGGAATTGGGAACCACGCCAGACTTCAAGGTCTTTCGTTCTTGAAACGGCAAGGCGACAGGCGATCGAACCTAGGGCGAGTTTTTTCAGCGGTTTTTACAAACCGCGCATGAAAAAACCTCGAGTGACGACTCCCAGCGCCGTTATGGTTTCCCCCGAGGAAACCTCACAGCCGTCGGACTCGAGGTCGCCAACGTTCAACAATAAAAATTGATGAACGCTTGACATCGCCGAATCTAGCCAAACAAGAAAAATCATGCAAGCGTTGTTTGGCTTGAAGAGGACTTCATTTGCAAGACGATCTCGCGAAATGTTTCACCACGATGAATGTAGTGATTGAACTGGTCGCCGCTCGCGCAACCGGGTGAGAGAACGATCATGTCTCCGCGCTGCGATTGTTGCCAACACCACGCAAGGGCTTCTTGCAACATCGCAACGTTGGTTCGCAGACACGATGGTTGAAGGGCCTCGCAAAGACGAAGCAACGTTGGTCCAACTTGACCATAAAATGCGACGCCTTTTACCCCAGTGGAAATCATATTGGCCAACGCGTGAAAGTCGGAACCTTTATCGCTTCCTCCAGCCATCAGCCACACCGGTGCATCGCACGCTTCGATGGCGGCGACTGTCGACTCAGGCGTGGTCGATGCCGAATCGTTGATGAATACTCGCCCGTCGATCTCGGCAACGCGTTCCAACCGGTGAGGCAGCCCTCGAAACGCGGATAACCCCTGATTCACGCACTTTTCATCAACTCCAATCGCTCTGGCAGCCGCCGCCGCAAGATGTGCGTTCCTGCGGTTGTGAGTGCCAGGAAGCGGTAACTCTGGGATCTCGCTATCGGTCGCCGGACTGATCAACCGTCTTGCTTGAAGTAAGTTATTCCAAGTTCGCACCTCGTAGTCTTCGTGATTCAACACCACTGCACCATTGGGGGCGGTGAGTTCAATGATCCGCTGTTTGGCTTGGATGTAGTGCTCCACATCGGGATGCCAATCGAGATGGTTTGGCGAATACGAAGTGACGACCGATACATCGAACGGACGGATTTCACTGCTGAGTCGATGTAACTGGAAGCTGCTCAACTCGAGCACCAGCCAATCCTCAGGTCCGATGCACTCAAGCTGCGGTAATAAACTGCCGCCAAGATTCCCCCCCAACCAGGTGCGATCACCTCCCACACGGAGAATCGCCTCTAGCATTGCCGCCGTGGTCGACTTACCGTTCGATCCGGTAACCGCCACCACGTGGGCATCGACTTCGCCCAAGAGGATCTCGATTTCGCTTGTGACTTTGGCGCCGTGTTCAATGGCCAGTTGAAGCCACCGATTGTTGGGGCGAACCGCCGGATTCACCACAAGAATCTCGGTGGAACAAAACGTGGATTCATCGTGACCGCCAAGTTCGTAGCGAACCTGCGGTAAGTCTTTAAGCTGGGTTAGCGAATCGTGGAGGGAGGCTTCATCCACCGTATCGGTCACCGTGACGAGGGCGCCACGCTCAGCCAGAAACCGCACAGCGCCGATCGCACCGCCATGACGGCCGAGCCCCATCACCGTTACTCTCCGACCGTGCCACTGCATGTCGATCCTTCAATGAACGGCAAAAAATCCGTGCCCGCGATGCATCGTACTGTCGTGACAACAACTTCCATCTCCCGCAGCCACCGCAAGTTACACAACCGGGAGTTTTCTGAGAACGGCGGTTCGGTAGGCCCCTAGTATCCAGACACTAGGTACCTCGCAAATGAACCGATAAACTGAGGGGTTTGGCTGCGGGGGCCGGAAGCCGGTAGGGCGTTTTGCTCCCGACAACTGGTTCCCAACGATGGATCAATGCCCTCCTGGCCAGGGCAAACTGTAGAACGACCTGGATTACCATGACCGCTCGTGTCATTTCGCTTACAGGAGTTTCCGTCCACAATCTGCGGGATATCGATCTCGAGATTCCCCACCGGAAACTGGTTGTTCTGTGCGGACTGAGCGGAAGCGGAAAGAGCAGCCTGGCATTCGACACCTTGTATGCCGAAGGGCAGCGTCGCTACATCGAGACATTTTCGGCCTACGCCCGTCAGTTTTTGGAACAGCTCGAGAAGCCGGAAGCCGAGCGGATCGAGGGCATCCCTCCGGCAATTGCAGTAGCTCGACAGAGTCCTTCGAAATCGAGCCGCTCGACAGTGGGCACTACGACCGAAACAATCGAGTTCCTGCGGCTGCTGTACGCCAAAATCGCTCATGTTATCTGCCCGAACTGCAACCGCGAGGTGCGCCGCGAGTCGGCCCAATCAGCCGCCGAACGGTTATTGTCTCTGCCCGGCGGCATGCGATTCATGGTCACGTTTGCCGCCTGGCCCAGCGAGGGTGGTAATTACCAGCAGTTGGCCGAATCACTTCGCGAAGAAGGTTACCTGAGGGTTATCTTCAACCACCGCACTCATAACATCGGCTCCGAACCATTCGATGCCCCGGCTGAGATTCGCGAACCACTGTATGTGGTAGTCGACCGCTTGAAGACTGGCGATGTCGAAGAGAAGCGGCTCCGCGAATCGGTCGAGCAGGCCTTTGCCCAGGGTGATGGGGCCTGCCATGTGTTTCTCCAGGCCCCCGGCGAAGTCGAAAGCGAAGACGAACGGGAAATCGAAGGCCGACCCTTTGAGATCGACGGAAGCACTTGGCGACATCGGCGGTGGAGTTCCAACATGGTCTGCGACGGATGCGGACGCGAGTTCCACGCCCCCGAGCCACGGTTGTATAGCTTCAATAGCGCATTGGGAGCCTGTCCCGAGTGCGAGGGCTTCGGCAACATAATCGATCTCGATATGGAACTGGTCGTGCCCGAGCCATCGAAGTCGCTCCGCGAAGGGGCGATTGCTCCCTGGAACACGCCGGCGTACGCCCACGAGTTGGAAGAATTGCTGGCCCTGGCCGACGACTACAACCTTCCAGTCGATGTTCCATTCCACGAGCTGACGGAAGAACATCTGCAACTTTTGCACGACGGTGTACCGGAACGTGATTTCGGCGGGCTTTCCGGCTTCTTTGCCTGGCTCGAACGTCGCAAGTACAAGATGCACATTCGGGTGTTTCTCAGCCGCTGGCGAAGCTACCGGGTGTGCGAGGCCTGCGGCGGAACGCGGCTTCGCGAGGAGGCCCTTTGTGGTCAGGTCGGCGGGCGGAACATCGCCGAAGTTTCGGCCCTGAAGATTCGCGACGCGGCCCAATTCTTCAAAGACGTCGAACTCACCGAGTGGGAACGCACAGTGGCGGCCACCATGCTCGACCAGGTACACAACCGGTTGGCGTTCCTGGAAGCAGTCGGGCTGAGCTACCTGACGCTTGACCGCATGACGCGGACTCTCAGCGGCGGCGAAGTGCAGCGGGTCGCACTCACTACCGCGCTGGGCTCCAGCCTGGTGAACATGCTCTACGTGCTCGACGAACCCTCCGTCGGGCTGCACCCCCGCGATACTCGGCAATTAATCGACGTGATCCTTCAGCTTCGCGATCGTGGTAACTCGGTGGTGGTGGTCGAACACGATGAGGCCGTCATCCGCGAGGCCGATCAGGTGATCGAAATCGGCCCCGGTGCCGGCGAACGTGGAGGACGAGTGATCTATCAGGGAGCGCCTGAGGAAATTGATGATGAGCCCTCGAGCATCACAGGTGATTATCTCTCAGGCCGTCGTGGGGGAAGTGTGCCGGCCAAGCGTCGGCAGCCCAACCACGGTTGGGTCCGTCTGGCCGGTGCTCGCGGAAACAACCTGCAGGATATCACCGTCGAGTTTCCACTGGGCGTGCTCTGTGTGGTCACAGGAGTTAGTGGCTCGGGCAAAAGCACACTGGTGCAGGACACGCTTTACCCTGCCCTGTGCCGACGGATGCGCAAAGAGGCCCCCAAGCCTTATGAATTCGACGACGTTCTGGGCGATGGCCAAATCGAAGACGTGGTGCTCGTCGATCAGAGCCCTATCGGGCGTTCGGCCCGATCGAACCCGGTGACCTACATCAAGGCCTTCGACGAAATCAGGGCCGCCTTCGCCGACACCCTCGACGCGAGGATGCGGAACTACACGGCCAGTCACTTCAGTTTCAATGTCGACGGTGGACGCTGCACGGCCTGCCAGGGTGATGGACAAGTGCGAATCGACATGCAATTCCTGCCCGATGTGTATATGAAGTGCAGCCAGTGCCAAGGCACCCGATATCGGGCTGAAATCCTGGAAGTGACCTACCGCGGGCGAAACATCGCCGACGTACTAGAAATGACCGTCCGCGAGGCCTTCACCTTCTTTCGCGGTTCGACCAAAGTTCAGGCCAAGCTGAAGCGGCTGATCGACGTGGGTCTCGATTACGTCAGACTCGGACAACCGGCCAACACGCTTAGCGGTGGTGAGGCACAGCGGCTGAAACTGGCGGGCTATATCTCGCAGAAACGGCGGGGGCGGTGCCTGTTTCTGTTGGACGAACCGACCACGGGTCTGCACTTCGCCGATGTGGCCCAATTGCTCGACTGCTTCGATGCCCTGGTCGCGGTGGGGCATTCGCTGATCGTGGTCGAGCACAACATGCAGCTCATTCAGGCGGCCGACTACATCATCGATATCGGTCCCGGGGCGGCCGACGAGGGTGGTCAGGTTGTAGCCACAGGGTCACCCGAGGCAATTTCGAACTGCCCCGAGTCGGTCACCGGAAAGTTCTTAGCCGAGGCATTCGCCAAACACACCCTACGGGAACAATCGGCCTGAGTCAGAACTCCAGCCGACCGCTCCGCAGCGGCATCGCCAAAGGGGGGATTCTTCTCATTTGGCATTGATCGATCGACCTGTGTAGGGAATCTTATGTCCGGCTAAATTCCCAGATCGGTCGAGACCCCTTTAATGGCGCTGGTAGACGTCGAATTCTCCGTAAAGAACCGGACCCTGAACAGCCGCGTCGCTCGCTTCTTACGTGACGCCGATGAGCGGATCACGGAGTTCTATCGGACCAGCCGCGGCAGTTGCAGTGGCTTTGTGCCCAGCGACTACGCGCCCATCTACGAAGCCCTGGAAGCGATCGTCGACCAGAACCTCGCCCCCGGCAATTCGTTCTGCGAATGGGGCAGCGGCTTTGGAGTGGTGGCCTCGATGGCTGCGATGCTGGATTTCGACGCATGTGGTATCGAAATCGAACGTGATCTCGTCGACGAGTCGGCACAGTTGGCCGAAGATTACGATTTGGATGTCGAATTCATTCACGGCAGCTTCATTCCACCCGGGGGCGCCCGCGAGGCCGAACAGGTCTACCTCCACGACAACGATGGCTTTTCCTGGCTGGTGACCGACACCGACAGCACCTATGAAGACTTGGGCCGCGAACCAGACGACTTCGATGTGGTCTTCGCTTACCCCTGGCCCGACGAAGAGGGCGTAATCTTCAACCTTTTCGATGCTTTTGCCGCCAAGGGAGCCCTACTGCTAACGCAGGAAAAGTTCAACGTGCTCCGCCTACAGCGAAAAGTGAGCAGTCCGCAACGACTGAGGAGAGGCCGCTGACGCGCTCGAGTTCCCCCCCTGGTTGCTTACCCGCGGAACTCCCCGTTATCATCAGCGTCGTTGGCACCTGCGGACGCATCGCTTTTTAGAGTATTCCAGAGACGGCGATTCACGTCGAGGTAATGCAGTTATTGGCGGGGCGAGTTGGTCTCGGGTTCTTACACACTCGCATAAAAGGGCACGGAATATGGAACCAATCAAAATGCGTAGCTTATTGATGGCAGTCCTGCTGATGCTTGGAGCGACTTGCATCGGCTGCAATACCCATCCCCAGGAAGTGGAACCCACGGCCGAAGGCAACGGTTCTGAATCAAATGAACCCGCGGGTGACATGGCCCACGGCAATGGCGAAGCCCCCGCTTCTAGCGAGCCTGAAGGCTGGCCGGCTGGAGAGAACCCTGCCGAAAGCTTCGATGAGATGGTGAAGGAGATCGAATCGAAATTTGGCTCGTTCTACCTGGTTGAAGAAACGCAATTTTATCCAATCGGCTTTTCGAAGTTCAAACGGGTGATCGATGAAATCGATACCAGCGTGGACGAAGATGCCGACCCCAAGACTGGGACCATCAAGATCGTGTACACCAAGCACTTCACGCTGCTGCACAAAACGCATGAAGATGCCGAGCAAGACATGGACATGTACCCGGCCAATCCCGTTCAGACTAAAGAGGTGATGCTCGGCAGGCTCAACCCTAAGCAGCTTCCACTCACCATGGTGATGACCTACACGCTCAAAGACGGCCGCTGGGTGCGAACCGATGTGACGGTCGAGCCGAAGTACAAAGACTCTTCGGATGTGCCCGGCCAAATGAAGCTGCCCTAGGCGGGTGCTTGGGTGCGATGACTTGATCCCGATCACTTGTTAAACCTTCCCATGGCGCCCTGCTCTGCTTGCAAATTGTAGTCCTGCATGAACGCTTCCTCCGATCAGCCGAACCCTCTGACTCGCTATGCTCGGCAGACGCTGTTCCCCCCTTTGGGCAAAGAGGGTCAACAGCAGATGCTCGAGTCGAGGGCTTTAATCTGCGGATGCGGCGCGCTGGGAACGGTGCTCGCCAACACGCTGGCCCGAGCGGGGGTTGGGCATCTTCGGATTGTCGATCGTGATTTCGTCGAGACCAGTAACCTGCAGCGGCAGGTGCTCTTCGACGAACAAGACGTGAGCGATGGGCTGCCCAAGGCCATCGCGGCCGAGCGGAAGCTGCGGCGCATCAACTCAGAAATCGAAATCGAAGCGTTCGTCGCCGACGTCGACCACACCAACATCCTCGAGCTAGCTGATGGGGTCGATGTGCTGCTCGATGGAACCGACAACTTCGAAACCCGATATCTGCTGAACGATGTGAGCATCAAGCACGAAATCCCCTGGGTCTATGGCGGTTGCCTCGGAGCCGAGGGACAAACGATGACGATCGTGCCCGGCGAAACAGCCTGCCTCAGCTGCCTCATGCCCGAGGCCCCACCGCCGGGAAGCACGCCCACCTGCGATACGGCGGGTATCCTGTCGCCCATCGTGAATGTGATCGCTTCGATCGAGGCCATGGAAGCAATCAAGATCCTCAGTGGCAACGGTGAGGCGATCAATCGCACGCTGCTGGTGATTGGTCTGTGGGACAACCGCCTTCGCCAGGTGAAGCTCGATGCCCTCCGTGAAGCAGGCACCTGCCCCACGTGCAGCGGTGGCGAGTTCCCTTGGCTCGATGGCCGCGCCGGCAGTCATTCGGCTGTACTTTGTGGTCGTAACGCCGTGCAGATCAGCTCACCGGACCGTCAGAAGCTGGCTCTGGATCGGCTGGAGGAGAAGTTGTCGTCCGCCGGTCAGGTGCGGCGCAACCCGTTCATGCTGCGGTTCGATGTGGACGACTACCGGCTGACCATCTTCCCCGACGGTCGGGCGATTGTCAGCGGTACGGACGACATTGCCACGGCCAAAACGCTTTACGCCAAGTACATCGGGGCCTAGAGAGCTCAAGCAGGCCCCTGCTCAACCTTCCACCTGAGTGGCGGCTTCCATGATCCGCTCTTCGGTGGCTTCTTCTCGAGAGAACTCGGCCGTGAGTTGGCCTTCGCTCAGTACCAGAATGCGGTCGCAAAGCGTAAGCAACTCCGGTAGCTCGCTGGAGGTGACAATAATGCCCAACCCCTCACGGCAGAGTTGATCCATTAGTGTGTAGAGTTCGGCTTTCGCTCCCACATCGACGCCCCGGGTGGGGTCATCCAGTAAAAGCACCTTCGGTCCGGTGAGCAGCCAGCGGGCGATGATGGCCTTCTGCTGGTTCCCTCCGCTGAGGCTTGTAATGGAGGCCCCCACGCCCGCGGTTTTCACGCCCAGCCGCTTCACGGAGTCTTCAGCGATCACAATTTCTCGCCCCAGGAAAAGCAATCCTCCGGATGTCGCTTCTGAAAGGGAGCAGACAGTGATGTTCTCTCCCACGCTCATCTCGGCGAATAGGCCCAACCGCTTGCGATCTTCGGTAACCAGTGCGACTCCGGCGGCCATCGCCTGCGATGGGTGTTCGAACCGAACTGGCTGCCCTTCGAGCAGTACCCGCCCTTGGGGCGGCAACGCGCTGGCCCCAAACAGGCACTCCAGCAATTCAGTGCGGCCCGCGCCCATCAGACCGGCGATACCCAAGATCTCTCCACGACGGAGCTGGAACGAGATTTCCTTCAACCGCCACCCTCGCGCATGCCCCGGCCAGGCGAGGTTGAGACGATCCACCTCCAGCACGGTGTCTCCATGTGGGCGTTGCTCGTTCAGCGAAGTCTGCTCGATCTCTCGTCCGACCATGAGATGAGTGATTTCGCGGGGCGAAGTTTCGCTGCGGGTCAGCGTGCGCACCAGTTGCCCGTCGCGGAGCACCGTGATGCGGTCGGCAAGGCGGAAGACTTCGTCCATCTTGTGCGAGATGTAGAGCATGGTTACACCCCGCTCTCGCAGTCGGCCAATCACGCGGTCAAGTCGGGCAACTTCGAATTCGGTCAACGCACTGGTTGGCTCGTCGAGAATCAAAATCGCCGCGTCGAGCGAGAGGGCTTTGGAAATTTCGACCAATTGCTGATCGCCCACGCGAAGGATGCCTACTGGTTGATCGGGATCGATGTCGCACTCGAGCTGCTGCAACAACTCGGCGGCCGACTCCCGCATGCCTGCTTGATTGAGGAAGCCCCAGTGTCGCAACTCTCGCCCGAGATAGATATTCGCGGCGGCCGAAAGTTCTTCGACCAGGTTCAATTCCTGATGCACGATCGCCACGCCGGCCTGTTGGGCATCGCGAGTGCCCTCGAAACGAACTGCATTACCGTCGATGCGGATCGTACCCTCGTAGTTGGGAATGATCCCGGAGAGGATCTTCATCAGGGTACTTTTGCCAGCGCCGTTTTCACCGACGATGGCGTGCAATTCGCCGCGATCGATTTCCAGCGAGACGTCACTCAGGGCCACCACGCCGGGGTAGCGCTTCGTAACATTGTTGACAGCTATGATCGGGTCGCTGGACATGGGGTCAATCGACCATCGAATATTAAAGGATGGGGAACTCGGGTCATCCGCTCTGCTTCGGCCGGCGTTCGAAGACGTACATCGCCACAACGGCGGCCAGCACAATCCCGGCAACCACCAGGCCAATTATGGTCGATCGCTGGGTCGCCCCCTCTTGAGCCCCCGAAAGCAGTGCGGCCACCACACCGGCGAACAGCACCAGCACCCCACCGGCTGCAACTCCAAGAGCCCCGGAGAAGAACTTCTTCTGTGCATCACGAGCCCGACGTAGTTCGTTGAATGCCACCGCGAAGACCACCAGAATGCCGACAATCAGCCCCTCGTAAACATCAGCCCCGCTGTCGATCATCTTGGCTACGCCATCGATGACCAGCCGCAGGAACACACAGCCGAGCACAGTCCCCAGAATTGTGCCCACGCCACCCTGCAAGCTGCACCCGCCAACTACGGCGGCGGCAATCGCATTGAGTTCATACGCGCGACCGAGCGTCTGAGGGTCGACCACGCCCTGATCGCCGATGTAGAGAATGCCGGCCAACGAAGAGAGCATGGCCGCAATCGAATAGGCCAGCCACTTCAGCCGGTCCGTGCGAATACCGCTAAGCCGGGCCGCTTCTTCATTTCCTCCAAGTGCGTAGATATGCCGGCCCACCACGGTGCGGCTGAGCAGTATCCACATCACGATGGCCAGGCCGATGAACAATGTGGCCTGAACGCCAACGGACTTCGTGATATCGCGAAACTGAGCGTCGTAGATTTGAATCTGTGTGCTGTGGGCCAGGTACTCGGTAATCGCCCGGCCCAAGCTCCGCAGCCCCACCAACGAAGCCAGCGTGGCTACGAACGGCGGTAATCCCACCACGGTTATCAACCAAGCATGCAGGGTGCCAATGAAGAACCCAACAAGCAACGTCCCAGTTATCGCCGCAATGATGACCCCTGTACCCAGTGGATCGCCCGATTCCATGGCCTCGGGGGCAAGCAGCAGCATGATCGAACCGCAGATGGTTCCGCTGATAGCAATGACCGATCCGGCCGAAAGATCGATTCCCCCGGCGATGATCACCAAGGCCGCACCCAGGGCGAAGATACCCAGCATTGAAGTCTGGCGGCAGATGTCGTGAAAACTACGCCAAGGGTCTTGCAGATAGGCGTGATGTTGATCGACCGCGGCCGTGAAGGCGACGACAATCACAATGGCTAAGATTAAGCCCCATTCGTGAGGCTCCAGCAATCCAAACAGTCTGCGTCGTAATCCCACGGCATCACGACCCAGAGAGTTTGTACTGATCCAGCCATTTCTGGAACTCGCCCAGTTTCATGAACTCGGCGTTTTCGCTGAACGATTCCGGCTTGAGGGGCGAATCTTCAGGCACTACGACCTTCATCCCGGTGTTGTAGAGATCGCCATTTTCCTGGTCGGCATTGGGGAACATCTCACCCACGGTCTGGGTATCATCCTCAACCAAGGCATTAAGAAGCTTCACCGCTTGATATCCCATCTGATAGGGATTCTGCACGACCATTACGTCGACGTCGCCATCAGACATTTGTTTGATCGCCAACGGCTCGGCGTCGAACACGCAGACATCGAAGTCTTCGCGGCGATCGAGTTCTTTCACCACATCGACGATGGCTGGAGCGTTATACGACCAAATGCCCACCAGTGTGGTGAGATCGGGGTGGTTTTGAATCGAGTTGCGAACGTTCTCGCGAGCCCGAGTGCGGTCGTTTTCATCGCCCATGTTGTCGACGGCCTCGAACTTCTCGCCAGCCCCGTCGGCGAACCCACCGACGCGTTCGATGGCGTTTTGGGCTCCGGTGCGGCCGACAAAGGTGACGAATTTGCCGCCTTCGGGGTTAAGCTCTCGGGCAGCGATGCCCAACTGCTGGCCAGCTTCGAAGTTGTCGGTGCCGATGAAGTACGAGCGTGAGTCCCGGTACCGATCGCGATCCACGTCGGAGTCGATCGTGACGACATGGACGTTGTTTTGCTCGCGGAGCGATTTCAGCTCTTCAGCAATCGCCGGGTTGGCCCCGTCGGTCACCGAAATGGCGATCGCCTTGATATCGCCCTGGCTGGCGTATTGCCTGAGCTTATCGACTTGCCCCTTGGGTGTGGCGTCGTTCGTGTCGAGCACGGCATTCACCTGCATCTCTTCGGCGGCGTCTTCCATGCCCACGCGCACCGCGTCCCAGAACGGCGAATTGCCGTTCATGAGGATGATGATGCGACCATCATCTTCGCCCTCGCTGGACGTAGTTGCAGGAGCCGAACAGCCGCCAACCACCACAACAACGAGCGCAGCACACAACGCCAGACCACTTCGCCACATCGCGCACCCCTCATTCGCTAAACCCGTGGGCAAATCGCTGCACCACAAAGCATGCGATCCTTTGCCGACTTACAAAGCTCTCGTTGTAAGTCCGCAAAGGAATCGCCTGAGTCAGTAGCCCAAAACTATTCGGGAGTGGTGGTGTTGGCCTCTTCCACAACCGTCTCTTCCACTTCCACTTCGCCGTCAGTAGGCGTATCCATCGACTCGGATGCACATCCGGCGAAGAAGCAGGCGCAGAAAACCGACAGACAGCCAGCCAACATGAATTTTCTGAAGCTCATTGCAACAATCTCCTTAGGTAAAAGTTCAGAGTCAGAAGACCAATAAACGGACGATTTTACGGACGAAGCCCCCCGCTCGCAAGCGGCCAAAGAGCACCGCAAAAACTCAACTTCACCGGCAACCCACAGGTGGCCGATACCTATTGCTAGACCCTCCTCACTGGTGTTCTATTCCCGCAAAGTAGAAAATGCCTTCCACTACGGACTCCCGGGCCGCGTCCGCAGGGCCTGTGAAACTGCGCCAATCAGTCGGATCTTGGCAGTTGGGCAAACTAATCGGCCAGGGGCAATTCGCCGATGTGTTCGAAGCCCGACCCGAGGGGGGAGGCGACGCGCCGTTCTCCTACGCAGTGAAGGTGCTTCAGCCCAAATGGGAAGATCACCCACTGGCGGTCGCCATGTTTGCCACCGAGGCTCGCGTGGCCCGCGAGGTGACCAACCCGCACTTGCTGCCGGTTCTCGCCTCGCAGACCGCCAGCTCGCCCTACTTCCTGGCAATGCCTCGGCTCTCGGGCACCACGCTTGATGCCCGACTAAAGTCAGGACGCCGCCCGGGCATCGGCACCACCGTGTGGATTGCCCGCCAGGTAGCCGAGGCACTTACGGCGCTGCATACCGCCGGCTGGTCGCATGGTGATGTGAAGTCGGGCAACATTTTCGTCTCAACCGAAGGCCATGCCACACTGATCGACTTGGGATTCGCTCGCCGCCCTGGCGAACAGGCTGCAGATGACGAACAAGCCGTTTTGGGAACCCCGCACTACCTGGCGCCCGAGTTGCTCACATCGACGCATCGAGGCGACATTCGTAGCGATCTTTACAGCCTGGGCGTGGTGCTATTCGAGATGCTCACGGGCAAGCGGCCCTTCGATGGTGAATCACTGAGCGAGTTGGCGACCGCACATCAGCAGCAGGTTCCACGCAAGCTGCGGCGGGAACTCCCGCAAGCCTCAGCCGAACTAGAGAAACTGATTGAGTCGCTGCTTGCGAAGCAGCCAGTCCGCCGCCCTCAGTTTCCGGCGGAACTTGTTCAACGATTGATCTCGCTCGAGATCGACACATTCGCCCAGCGATTGCCGCTGGCGGGGTAAGCCGCACCGGCTCAAGCTATGACGCCGAGCCAGGAAACTCGGCTCTGCGGTAGCTCATGTCGAGCAAATCGATCGGGTGAATCACTCTCAGATTCAACCCTTGCGCTCGGGCCTCACGGGCGATTTGCAGTAGACAACCCGCGTTGGCAGTCACCACCACTTCCGCACCAGTGGTTTTCACATTGGCCATTTTCCGCTGGGCCAACCGACCGGCCATCTCGGGCTCGGTAAGGTTGTACGTCCCCGCAGCTCCGCAACACATCTCGCTCTCGGGCAATTCGCTGAGTTCCAAGCCCGGAATCCGCGAGAGCAGCCGCCGCGGGGCTTCGCGGATTTTTTGGGCGTGGGCCAAATGGCAGGCATCGTGATAGGTGGCCCGCATGCTGATCTTTCCTGGCGGGTCAACGATGCCCAGCTCGTCGAGGAACTCGTTGATGTCGCGAACTTTCGCGGCAAATGCTTCTCGCGCGGCTTGTCGCTCGTCGTGCCAGTGATGCCCATAGTCTTTGAGCATCGCCCCGCAGCCGGCCACGTTCACGATCACGGCGTCGATGTTATCCAGATTGAACGCCTCGATGTTGGCGTCGGCCATCTTCATCGCTGGTTCTGCCGAGCCGGCGTGAAAGTTGATTGCCCCGCAGCAATTCTGTTCTTTGGGCACGATCACATCACAGCCGTTCTGCTGCAGCACACGGGCTGTGGCCCAGTTCGTCGGGCGGAACATCGCGTCGCCAACACAACCGGTGAACAAGGCTACTGTCGCCCGCTTGGTACCGATCGCTGGGAGAAACTCCGGCAACGCCGGCTCGCTCGCTACAGGGGGCGGCAACATGGCCACCAATTGACGCAGACGGGGAGGCAAGATTTTGAAAAGGCCCATTCGCTCGGCCAAACGCATCAAACCGAGCCGCTGTGCAATTCGGGCGGGAGCCAGCGCCAGCCGCAATCGACCGGGATAGGGGAATAGCCGAAACAGGATCCAGCGGTGGAACCAATCGTTCGTCTTGGTAGGCTCGCCCGGCATGTTCTCCATGGCCACGCGAAACGGCTCGATGAGCTTGCCGTATTGCACTCCCGAAGGACAAGCCGTCTCGCAGTTGCGGCAATCGAGGCATAACTCCAGATGACGTCGCACCTCGGGCGTGAGGTCCAACCGGCCATCGGTCACCGCCCGCATGAGATAGATTCGCCCTCGAGGGCTATCGTTCTCGTTCCCCAACTCGGCATACGTGGGGCACGACGCCGTGCACAGACCGCAGTGCACGCAGTCAAGAAACAGTTGATAGTCGATGCCCGCTCCCGGGTTGAGCTTCAACGGACCTTCGACCTGGGGCAAACCCTCAGGCTTGGCATGTTGTTCTACGGAAGCAGTTTGGTTCGAATCGCTCATAAGGTCGTCGTGAATACCACGGGCAGAATTCTTGCGAGGGCTCGGCTAAAAGACGAAGCGGCCACGGTTGAGAATATTTTTGGGGTCGAATTGTTTTTTCACCGAACGCATAAGTTCCCAGGCAGCCGTCCCCTTGCCCCAAACACAATCGACCGGCAAGCCCTTGGCCGCGTTGCCACCAATGACGGTTGCATACCCGCCGGCACTCGCGGCAGCCGGTTGGATTCGCTCTTTGATTAACTGCGTCCAGGCCGCGGTGTCTTTTGACGTAGTAAATCGGGCGATGACCACACCATTTCCAGCATGGGATTGAACGTCCACGGTTGGATCGATTGCGATCAGCGCCTCAATTAAGCCAGCTGTCTTGCTCGGCAACCCGGTGCACTTCACCACCAGCGAACCACCATCGCCGGCTGAGAACTCGGTCAAACGAGACCAGAGCCCCGGTATCTCATCGATAGGCACTCGGGCCAGTGAGGTAACTACCAGATCTCGCCACTCGGACTCCAGTTGTTCGACAAGCCAGGCAACTTCGACCGCGGTGCCCTCGAAGGCCACCGCCATGCGTCCGAGCGACCCGGGATTCACGGCCGAAAGTGCAGTGTCTTCCTGCCAGGCAGGCCCTTGAAGAATCTCGACGGCCGAAGGGGTTGTCTTGGTGGTCGTCAGGTTCATCATCAGCCGGCGGACTTGATCCCAGTCGTTCAGCGGGCAAACCACGAACGCCGCATCTTGCGGAATGGGGCGAACCTTCAGGGTGACCTGTGAGATGAGGCCCAATGTGCCCATCGAGCCGGTCAGCAACTTGCAGAAGTCATATCCGGCCACATTTTTTACGACCCGACCGCCACCTTTGAACGGTACGCCACGTCCATCGACGGCCGAGATACCGATGACATAGTCGCGAATGGTTCCCGACCCGAAACGTCGCGGTCCGCTGGTGTTGGTGGCAATTACTCCGCCGAGTGTGGCCCGCTCGGAAGCAGGTACATCGATCGGCAAGCGTTGGCCGCCGGTGTTGAGGGTTTCCGCAAGAGCGTTCATGGTGATCCCCGCCTCGACGGTGATCGTCATGTCGCGGATCGGGTAATCGACCACACGGTTTAGCCCGGTGAGCGAGAGCCCCAGGCCTGCGTCGGCCGCGGGAATTCCGAAATCGAGTGCCGTGCAACCGCCCAACGGATAGATCGTAGTGGCCGATTCATGACAGCCAGCCACCAGACTTGCCAGCGCATCCTGACTCTCAGGCGTCGCGGTTTCACTTAAGGGCAATTGTTCGCTGGCTGTACTCACGCGTGGTTCGCTATCGGGTCAGGAGTGTTCTCTGTCGGGTTGGTTTCTTGGTGGTTCAGGAAACTTACATCGCCGCGCGTCGATTGGGAGCGACTTGTTCAACCGAACAAGCACCGGCCGTGGGGAGCATCTTCCCGGGGCTAAGCTTGCCGCGAGGGTTGAAGGCGACTCGGAGACGATCCATCACGTCGAGGTCGTTGTCGGTGAAGAGTCGCGGCATGAAGTTGAGCTTTTCAACCCCGATCCCGTGTTCGCCCGTCACGCTCCCGCCGCACTCGATGCACTCTTCCAGAATCTTTTCGCTGGCGGCCAGAACCTGGCGAATCTGTTCCTGATTTCTCTCGTCAAATAGCAGAATCGGGTGCACGTTCCCATCGCCAGCGTGAAAGACGTTCACGATACGAATGCCGTGTTCTTCGCCAATAGAAGTGATACGGCGCAACAGGTGCGGCAACTTGGTCCGGGGCACCACGCCGTCTTGTGTGCAGTAACTGGGACTTAATCGCCCCACCGCGCCGAAGGCTTGCTTGCGGCACTTCCACAATAATTGCCGCTCTTTGGCCGAGGCCGCCTGGCGAACCTCGCGGGCTCCGCACTGTTCACACAGGGCGACGATCCGATCCCGTTGCTCGTCGAGCCCGGCCTCGAGTCCATCGACTTCGATGAGCAGTACCGCCTGGGCGTCGAGCGGGAACCCGAAATGAAAGGCCTCTTCGAGAGCCACCACAATTCCCTGATCCATCATCTCCAGGGCAGCGGGAATGATGCCCGCCCCGATGATTTCGCTGATCGCGTTGGTGGCGTCATCGACCGAGTCGAAGATACCCAACATCGTGCGGTACCCCTGCGGGTCGCGTGTCAGGCGAACCCAAACTCGGGTGGCAATCCCTAGGGTGCCTTCGCTGCCGACCAGCACGCCCACCAGGTCCAAGCCGGGTGTGTCTTCGGCAGGCCCGCCGAACTGCACGATGCTGCCATCGGCCATCACCATCTCAACGCCGAGAACATGATTGACCGTGACGCCGTACTTCAGCGTGTGTGGGCCTCCAGAGTTGGTGGCCACATTGCCGCCGATGGTGCAGGCTCCCTGACTCGAAGGATCGGGAGCGTAATGAAACCCTGTGCCCTTGAGCCGCTGGGTGAGCCACACGTTGACTACGCCCGGCTGCACGATGGCATACCGGTCCTCGAGATGAATCTCCTGGATTTCCTTCATCCGCGTGAGGACGATCATCACCCCACCGCCCACGGGCAAGCAACCGCCGGCCAGGCTGGTGCCGGCTCCGCGAGGGATGAACGGCACATCGAGCTCGTTGCAAAGCTTGACGATGTGGGAAACGTGCTCGGTATTGCGGGGGAAAACCACCACGTCGGGGCAGTTCTTATCGATGACGAACCCATCGCATTCGTAGACCAGCAATTCGGAATGTGCGGCCAGAACCCCGTCGGTACCGACGATCTCGCGAAGACCGTCGACCAATTCGGGCAGTCGTTGTGCAATCATGACAGGCCGTGCATGCTAGCGAAGCTGGTTCTGAAAAATCCCCGGAAACCTTGATTATAGGGCCACAACCCACGACCGCTAGCGTCGCGGGGCCTCGGAACCTGGTCCCAACCATTCGCTAGCGGGTCGCTGAACTTATCTGGCCGTGAAATCGCACAGCGGCTAAACTCCCGCCCCGTTCATTCATTCGCTTTGGTATGGGCAGGGCACGGCACATTCGCATCGACCACCGGCGGTGCGAGCAAGGGGATTATCGTTGCCACTGCGGACTTCTCTACATCGCCTGTTGAATACTCTCTCCTGCGTGCTGCTGGGGCTCGTGGCGATTGCGCCATACACCGCCAGGGCAGACTTCCCTTCGCGGGCCGCGGCGGACGCCGGCTCCAGGCTGGTGACTGCCTTCCGCCCCTCGCCCTCGACACTGCATGCCCTTCGTAATGCACGGAGATCGCCGCGGGTTGCAAGTGCGGTGCCTGAGAATTACGAAAACCCTGTGTTCCTCGATTTCGACACCTGGGTGGAAGAGCATCAGCGGGAACGCGTGTTCTACGATGATGTTCCACCACCGGGAGCATATTACGATGGTGCGTTCACCTATGGCGAGCCCTGCTGCGAACCGCCCTGGACTTGGCACTTACTGCCGGGCGGGTTGCTTTACCGTTCTTATCTAGCCGGACCGCTGGAACCTCGTCTGGGTGGCGTTTGGATCGACGAGCGCGGCGAAGGCTCCTTGTGGGACATCGCGTTGGGCGGTCGCGTTGGAATCCTTCGTTATGGAACCCCGGGCGATTACGGGGCGAGCGGCTGGCAAATCGATGTGGAAGGTGCTGCTTTCCCCCGGTTGGACCTGGATGAAAACCGGGACATGGTCTCCACCGACTTTCGCTTTGGTGTTCCGCTTACCTACGCCTCGGGAAAGTGGCAAGCCAAGCTGGCATACTATCACTTGAGCTCGCACCTGGGCGATGAACTACTCGAGCGAGTTCCCACGACCGTTCGCCGAAACTACAGCCGCGATGCTTTCGTCCTAGGAGCCGGCTACTTCATCATCCCGGAGATTCGCCTGTACGGTGAACTTGGCTACGCTTTTTACAACAGCGGCGGCTCTGAGCCTTGGGAAACGCAATTCGGCGTTGAATTTGCCCCAGCAGCCCCGACAGGCATCTATGGGGCGCCTTTCGCCGCGGTGAATGCACAGTTCAGAGAAGATGAAGATTGGAACGGCACTTTTGTAGCGCAAGCCGGTTGGGCCATAAGCGGCGACACCGCGCGGCATCTCTTTCGACTGGGGGTCCAGTACCTCAACGGTCGTAGTAACCAAATGCAGTTTCTCGGTACCAACGAACAACAAATTGGTTTCGGCATTTGGTACGACTTCTAACGGTTAGCGAACTCTCGCATACTCCTCGTGCGTAGCAATGGCAGCTCTGCCCACTTGGGTAGGCGTTTGGCCTTTGCTAAATTGCGGGTCTGAAGCCGGAACCTACGAGGACCCTATGCGTCGAAAAATGGATGACCATCGCGTCTTTTGGCGCGAGTTTCGCAGGAATTTCGCTACCACGGGTGCCCTTGTCCCCAGTGGTCGCAAGTTGGCCACCGCACTCACACGGTACGTCAACCCAAACATGCCCCAACGCATTCTTGAAGTCGGGCCAGGAACCGGTGCCGTGACTCGGGAAATCGTAAAGCACATGGGGCCGCACGATGAACTGGTGATGGTAGAAGCCAACGAATCGTTCGTGCGACAACTCGAAAAGCGATTCACGGTCGACCCGTTGTTTCGCCGGGTGGCTGATCGCTGTGAAATCCATCATCAGCGTATCGAAGACCTACCGGCCAACGACCAGTTCGACGTGGTGATATCAGGCCTCCCGCTGAATAACTTCGAACCGAGATTGGTTCGCGACATCCTCGCTGGGCTGCGACTTCACGTGGCCAGCTACGGCACCATCTCTTTTTTCCAATACCTTGCGTTACGTCCGGCTCGCACGGTGATCAGCGGTCGCGAGCAGCGGCAACGGCTGCGGGGTATCGCTCGCGAGTTGCGAGACGCTTTGCGGGAAGGTGAGTTCGCCCGAGAAGTCATCTGGTCGAACTTCCCTCCGGCGACGGTGCACCATCTCAGCTATCGTTCGAGACGGGCCAGCACCGCGTCGCAGCCCCCTCTGAGGTGGCCGGTGGAAGCACCAGCAACGTCTGTCTAGAGTCCGCCCAGCCAGAGTCCAGTTGGTTGCCAGCAAATTGGGCCACGGTTATACTGTGTAAGTTGCGGTGTGAACGAAGTTTATGACCCACCGCTGAGTTTTGCGTTCGCCCGCGACGGGCTTCGAGCCTGGATGCGGTGGTCCTTTCGTCGTACCAGGAGTATCGATCGATGGCCCGTCACGCTCTCTTTGCCCTGTTGTTGGGTCTCGGTGTCACGCTTGCCATGCCCGCTGGCGTCGCCGATCAAGGCGTGGCTCCCAATAACGACGAGTACTACGAACTTTACAAAGTGCTTGTCGACACCATCGATCAGGTCGACCGCAACTATGTGCAGAACCTAAGCCGCCGCGAGATTGTCGATGCGGCAATTCAGGGCATTCTCGAGAAGCTCGATCCGTATTCCAGCTACATTTCGCCCGAGGAAATGACCCGTTTTCGGGACGATGTCGAACACAAGTTCGGTGGAATTGGCATTCAAATCTCGATGGAAAACGGCCGTTTGGTCGTGCTCAGCCCGTTGGTGGGCAGCCCTGCCTATCGTGCCGGATTGCGAGCTGGCGACCACATCGTCAGCATCGAGGGCGAATCGACCGAAGGCATCACCATCGATGACGCCGTGAAGCAACTCAAGGGTGATGCCGGTACCGATGTCACCCTTTCCGTACGTCATTCAGGTTCTTCCGATCCTGAGGAAGTCACCTTGACCCGTGAGGTTGTCGCGGTTGAAACCGTACTGGGCGACTCCCGCAAGCCAAGCGACGATTGGGACTGGATGCTCGACCGGGAATCCGGAATGGGCTACATCCGCCTCACGGCATTCAGCCGCGAGACGGCCTCAGACCTTCGCCGGGCGTTGAACGAGTTGGAAGATGAAGGCCTCAACGGTTTGATTATCGACCTGCGGTTCAACCCGGGCGGCCTGCTCACTTCGGCCATCGAAATCTGCGATATGTTCATCGAAGAAGGGCGTATTGTGAGCACTCAGGGCCGAAACACCCCAGAACGGACCTGGGAAGCCAAGTCGCCGGGAACTTATTCCGGATTCCCTATGGCGATTCTGGTAAATCGTTACAGTGCCAGTGCTAGCGAAATCCTCTCGGCTTGCCTGCAAGATCACGACCGAGCCATTGTCGTCGGCGAGCGGACCTGGGGCAAAGGCAGCGTGCAGAACGTGGTCGAACTCGAAGGCGGAACCAGTGCCCTCAAGCTCACCACAGCCAGCTACCAGCGTCCCAGCGGGCATAATATCCATCGATTCCCCGATGCCACCGAAGACGACGAATGGGGCGTCATGCCCAACGACGACTACCTGATCAAGTTTTCGCCCGAGGAAATGCGGCAATTGGTGCTCACCCGGCGCGACCGCGACATCGTGGTTTATCACGGCGAAGAGGGTGAAGAGGCGGTTGCCGAAGAGGAAGAGTCTAGCGACACCGAGCCTTCGGACACGGACGATGGCGAGGACTCGGAGGACGGCGAAGTAACCGAAGAAGAAGAGGTCGACATAACGTTCGTCGATCGTCAGTTGGAAGCGGCCGTCGAGTACATCCGCTCGCAGTTGGCCGGCGAAGCTTCGGACGACGAGTAGTCATCGCTAGGAACCGTAGCTTCGTGATCCGTCGCATTCTGACGATTGAATCGACCTGCGACGAGACCGCTGCCGCCGTGATCAACGAGCGGCTTGAAGTGCTGGGAGCCACGGTCGCTACACAGCACGAGTTACACGAACGCTTCACGGGCGTGGTACCCGAGATCGCCTCACGGGCCCATGTTGAGCGCATCCTACCCGTCATCGATGAGTCTCTGCGGCAAGCAGGAATCACGCTTGCCGAGATCGACGCTGTCGCGGTGGCCAATACTCCAGGCCTTGCCGGCTCGCTGCTGGTAGGCCTCTCGGCCGCCAAAGCTTTGTCTGTGGCTCTCGACGTCCCGTTGCTGGCGATTAATCATCTGCAGGCCCATATCTACGCCTGTCAAATGAGTGCGTCGGAGAATGTCTTTCCCTGCGTGGGACTCATCGTTAGCGGTGGACATACGAGCTTGTACCGCTGCGACGATCCATTGGACTTTACCTTGCTGGGGGCAACCATCGACGATGCGGCGGGCGAAGCCTTCGACAAGGTGGCCAGCATGCTAGGGTTAGGCTACCCCGGAGGCCCGGCCATCGAGAAGGCCGCCCAAGCGGGTGACCCTAAGGCGTATCGCCTCCCCCGTGCCATGCTCAATGGAGAGGGTGGACTCGACTTCAGTTTCAGTGGGTTGAAAACCGCCGTGCGTTACAAGATCGCCCCGCCGGGTAACGTTGAGTTCAACCAACTCTCGCTCGAGGCCAACGAGGTAGCCAACCTGGCGGCCAGCTTCCAGGAAGCGGTGGTTGACGTCTTGGCCCGCAAGGCCAAGAAGGCGCTTAAGGAAAGCAAACTCACCACTTTATGCGTCGGCGGCGGCGTTGCCGCCAACGCTGCACTTCGGCAACGATTAACTTCTGATGCTAAAGCGGCAGGTCATACACTTCATATCGCACCACCGTCCCTATGTACCGACAATGCGGTGATGGGTGCCATCGCAATCGAGCGACTTAAGGGCGGTATGACCGAGTCGCTAGAACTCGATATTGTGCCAGGGCCGGTACGACGCTGAGCAAGCTGGACCAAGGAACCGTCTGGCGATCTCGAACAAGCGATGCCCGCCCGTGAAACTAGTCGGGCGGACATCATCAAAGCATTCGTGTCTAGAAGTTGCCGCCGGAGCCACCGCTGAAACCACCACCGCCACTCGGCGTGGTTGAAGTTCCAGACTGGCCAGTGAAGGTATTGAATGTGTTCACTTCGGTGATGGCCGAGAACAATGGGAGACCGCTGTAGCGAACATAGCGACGGTCGGCCGAGATGACTGCCGTGGCGATGAAGTTCGTACCTTCGGGCAACACCTGAATCACCGGTTGGAAGCCCACGGCATTGGCCCCCGGCACAAATGGCCGAGCACCACCGTCAATCGCACGATTGCGACTTCCATTCAACTGGCTCAGTGCGTAGGTGTCAGCAACATTTTCCAGTTGTTGATTCAAGATTTCGCGTCGCATCGCCACTTGCTCGTTCGCGGCGGTGGCCACTTGATGCTCTTCAAGCGATTCTTCGAGCCGGCCATCTTCCACGCGGAACAACACCAAGGCGTCCTTCTCATCCAGCGGAATCTGATGCCGATGATGCGTGGCATACTCACCGAGATAGTTCGTGTAGATATCTACGGTGACTTTGCCGGCCGTAAGCTTACCCCACACCCGTCGCAGCATGAGGCGGTAGTCTCCCGAGAATGCCTTCGGACAAACGTAGACTTCACGGTAGCTTCCGCCTTCTTCCGATGTGCTCTGCGGCAGGCTATCGCCCAACATTACACCACCAGAGGTCGTGCGAGAATTCCGGAACGAACAAACCGTGCCGGCAGGTTCCTCAACAAGTAGATCGACGTCTGCCTCGCCAGTCCAGGAAACGACCACCACGCAATCGCGAACGACTGCCTCGTCCAGCTTGGCTTCAAAGGCATCGGCCTCTTCGGTGCGGCCGTCTTCTCGCAATTCCTTCAAGGTTGCTTCGGCCAAGCGATAAGCGTTTTTCCAAACGTCGTTCTTATCGTTTTGCCAGGCTTGGCTCAGAATGCCTACGGTGGCCCATTGAATGGCTTCGAGGTCGTTCAACTTTTGGGCCATCTTCATGCCGAACAAGAATGGTTCAGGTCGGGTGGGGGCGTCTGCGGCAACTCGTTGGTACAGCTCGAGTGCCCGATGCTCCAACCCGCTGCGGCCCATGTAGGCGGCGATGTACATCAAGTCGAGATTGTTCTCACTGAAGTCGACCGCCGACATCAGCACGCGTTCAACGTCTTCCGACGAGCGGCCTGCGGCCTGCATAGCCAGTGCGATTCCTTCGTACATCCAGGGCTGGGCATACCCGTGCCGCAAAGCGGCGTCGAGCATCGCCACAAGGCTCTCGAAATTGCGATCGGCCATCAGGCGACGCGAAGTCTCTCGGATCACTTCAGCACGCTCTTCGGGGTGCGAAGCGAAGTAATCATTCCAGGCCACGACGAGGTCGTCGCCTTCTGCGACGTCCAATTCGATGTAGCTGTGATCGCTCACTTCAGGATCCGTCGACGGAAGGCTCTCCCGAGTACGATCGGGCGTGGCAGCTACTTTGGCTTCCGGCTTCTTGCTCTCAGGCTGCTTCTTCGAGCTGAGGGTCAGACCATCTTCGACCGCGAAGGCTCGGAAGTTTTGCAACCCGTCGGGCAAGACATTAGCCGGGATGAAGTTGTCGCCGACATTGAAGTTACCGCCGCCGCCGAAACCACCACCGCCGCCGCCGAAGCCGCCACCGCCGCCGCCGAAGCCGCCACCACCGCCGCCGCCGAGGCCACCGCCACCGCCACCACCGCCGAAGCCGCCGCCGCCAAGGCCACCACCCACGCCAAAGGCCTGGATCGGTACCACAAGGTCTGCCACGGGATAGACTTTTGTGACAAGACGCGTTTCAGCTTCTTCGACGCTGGTGATCATCAGCACTTCATTGTCGATGATGTACGTCAAATCCAGGTCGCTCAGAATCAGTCGCAAAGCCGACCGCAGCGAAATGCCCGTCAGGTTGCGGTTGATCGGTGTACCCGAGTCGATACCCAGGTCGTCTAGGGCTCGTTGATCGATTTCGATTTCGATTTCGTGCAGGTCTTCAAGGTAGTTCAGCACGTCTTCGAGCGGAGTATCGATGAATTCGATCGTGGTCGGTTCGTCCAGTTCTTTTTGAATCTTTTGCTCTGCCGGATTGCTCGCCGAGAGATCGACCGTGGCGTACTGCTCACGACTCTCGGTAATCCGTCGCCAGACCTCCGCAGGCGGGTAGACAATGGGCGGCTCATCCGAGGTCGGAATATGCGACCGTTCGACCGATTCCAAAGCCAACACGACGCCCTTCTGTCGATCCAGACGCAATTGCATAGCGATTATCGCAGCACCAGTCATACCGGCGACTTCGACTGCTTGCTGGCCGACGTTTCGAAGTGGATCGACCTCAGTTACCATATCGCCAACACGACGGGCATCACGGTAGTAGCCTTCGTCCATCAAGGCGTTGAAACGCTCCATCAACTGTTGAATCTTTTGTTCCCGCAACTCCAACGAGAGCAGAGCTTGTTCTTGCTCACGAGCAGCCGCTTCGATGGCCTGAGCCTTGATATCGCGGGCACGTTTCTCATCGGCACGGAAAGTCGCCTGCCGCATGGCCACTTCTAGTCTTCGCAGAAGTTGCCGTTTCACTTCCGGATCGAGATTCGGTGCCTGACGAACTTCTTCAGAGCGAAGTTTCAGCATCTCCAGGGCGGAGTACGGATCGACGTCTAGGGCACCCCTGGCTTGATTGATGGCGTCTTGAACAACGGCCTCCATCATTTGCTGAGTGAGCTGCTGCTGTTCGTTGATCTGATCGAGAAACGAACCGTCTTCAAAGAGTTCGGCCTCGCCCTCGCCAAGCGGAGGTTGGTCGGGCAGAACGTCGGGCACCTGCACCAATCGCAACGGTGCGGCACCACCATCCGCCGTAGCATCGCTACGACCACGCTGTGCGGCCCCACGAATGACTTCCGTCTCTGGATTGTTGGGATCAATCTCTTGAGCCGCGGCGGCCAGGCGTTCGGCCTGATCGAAGCGTCCGCTAGCCACGGCCTGCTCGCCAAGGGCGTTCAAATCGCGAACTTGGGCATCGTAAACACGACGAATTTCGTTCAATCCGGGTGTTCCCAGGGTCGGCAGGGCCAATCCGTCGTCGTTCCGAGCTTCGTTCACTAATCGCGAAAGATAAGCATTGTCTTGGTTCGACTCGCCTGGCTGTACGTTCCAGGCCAACTCAGTCGATGCACCAGCGACATCACCTTCGAGCGAGACATCGAATGGACCATCGGCTTTTCCGACACCAATCAGAATCGTGTCACGGTCGGCTCGTAGCGGGGGAAGTTGCTTGGGATAGACCTCTTGGATTCCCTCGGGCAACGACACTGAACTGGGCCATACGACGGGCTCGCGGGCGGCATGTACCAGGAAACCACCAGCTTGCTCTGGTGTTACATTCGCATCATCAACCGACAACATCCCACCGGAGTGATTGGCCAAGGTGGCGAGCAAATAGGTATCAAGCTTGGGACCAACCGCGAAGCTAGTAACCGGAACACGTTCGCTGGTGAGCTTCTCGACGAGCTCTCGCATTTGATCGCTACGAATCAGGTCGGCGGTGCTCATACCGTCGCCGATGTAAACAATGCTGCGGGCATCACGACCGTCGCTGGCAAGTCGATCGACTGCAGCGCTCAACACCTTCTCCATATCGGTCGAACCAAGCGGAGTGCGAGCGTTCAGCTCGTTTACCGCATTGGCCATGTCGTCGCCCTTCGGAGCCACGAACCCTGAGGTCAAATCGATGGCATCCAAGTCGACGGCCATCAATGCGACACGATCTTGATCGCCCAGCCCTTTCAAAAACTCGTTCAACGTCGCAAGGGCTTTGTCGCGGAACGGTCCCGTCTGACTAGCTGATGTATCGAAGAGCACCACCACGTCTTGGCCGTCGCTCTGCGGAACAGGTTCTTGCGGCGTAAGGCTTAAGGCGAAGTAGGTCTCACCTCCCGGGGCCGCAAAGCTATCCAGACGTGAAGCCTGAATACTTGGCTCTTCGGCATTAGCGTAGTGCGTGAGTATTGCCGCGGACGCGACAACCAAGCCTGCAAGAACTGAGAATGTGCGTTTGGTAGCTGCCATGATGGCCAACTCCTCTTCCGGTGACGTGCGACGCATGACCACCCGTGTTCCGAAGCGGAGGCCGGTCGCTGCGCAGAGGTTTCGATGGTTTCGCTGCTGAAGAACGAAACAGCTTTATTCTATTCGCCCGCAACACTTTCCACCAAGGAAAAACTGCCCAAATTACCTGCTCCGACCCGCTTTAAGGCGGTCGCAGATCCCGCATAACCGGCCCCGTTCGGGTAACTGAATGGGCAGAAGCGCCACTGAAGGGGCCTGAACAGGGAGGTGTTCGAGGACAACCCGATCACAGAATGCTGAAGTGGCCCTGAGAATGGACCTACCTAACTAAGCAAGAAAACGAGTTCGGCAGACTCCATCAGAGAGCAGCTCGCCCCGAAAGCGCCGCTCAGAAGGCCATCGCCTTAATCCGCTGTGCGGCAACAACTTGCACCCTTACAGCCCGAAGTAGGGCTGCGTGGCCTTCACGGCTTGCTCGAGCACTGCATCGAGTGAGGCTTGCTGATTGGCCTCGATCTCGTCGCTGGCCGTCTCCGCTTCATCGCCTGCTTCCAGAGTCTCGATCTTTTGGCCCAGGTCGGTCATAGCCGTTCCCAGTCGCTTCAGCCACTCGGCGGCCGCGGCAGTGAACTCGGCCGCTCGCTGCTCCGGTGTGACTTCAGGGGTCTCGGCGGTCTTCAGCGAGCTGTCTCCTTGCTTCCGCCCCAAAGCGGCGGCGGCTTCACAGCCTTTCCAGGCAGCACTGGGGGCGATGCTTTTCTTGCTGGCCACGGCCGATTGCAGCGTCGCGGCGGTCGGCCCCCGATAAGCACCATAGGCGGTGCTGTAGAGGTTGCTCATCTTGCCGCACATCGCACCTTGGATTCCGGCCCATACGCAGTCGAACTCGTCCTGGTAGTAGCCGTCTTCTGCGAAGAGATCACCTTCATTGAAGACGTAGTCGCGAGCCAGGGCCTGATCGCGGGTGAGCATCACGCGAGGGTCGGTGGCCAGGTGCGACAGGCTGCCGGCAACGATTGGACCCGTAGAAAAGGGCGTGAAGTGCAAGGTGAAAGGCAACATCTGACGCGCGGGCTCGACCACTTCCTCTTCTTCCGGAATCACGTGGATGATGAGGCTGTGGGTGGACAGGCTGCGATCGGTGAACGGCACTTCAACGGCAACTTCTTCGGTAGCGGAGGGCACAACTGGGGCTGCCGAGGCAACCGGCAAGGCAGGCTTCGCGGGTTGTGGGGCCGGGCCGTAGCAAAACTCGGGGGCGAATCCGGTCGTGGCAAAGTCGGCCACCATCTGCAGGTGCGAATCGATAATCGTCGACATGTGCTCGGGCGTGAGCAGAATCAGCGAGCGACGTGCTCCTTCGACAGTTTGTCGTACCAGGGCTTCAATCAACGTGGTGTCGCAGGCAGGCGTCTGATCTTCGAACTCGGCCATCGGCATTGCCGGGGCAGGCGAAACCGGTCGGGCTGTATCGCTCAGCGAGTGCTGGAATTCACCGAAGCAGTTCTCCTCAGAGGTCTCGTCAATACGATCGAACGCGGCCGACTCCTGGTTTCTCGGCGTGATTGCAAGCGAGGCCATTCCACAGGGCATGCCGTACTGGAAGGGGTACATCACTTGATCGAGCTGCATCACATTCAACGGGCAGATGGGCAGGCCCGCGGGTGCCGGAACTCGAAACGCTGAAAGTTCTTGCGCAGCAATAGTTTTTGGGGCAGCACTCAAGCCCAGACAGGCAATGGCAAGCACGAGCGACAGAAGGCGAACACGTCGCAT